CCCGCGAGCTCACCTACAAACGTTAGGGCGAAGCTGAAATAGCCTCTCAAGGCTATCAGCATAGGTAGAAAAAAAAAAATTAGTTTAAATTCGGCCTTGGGTAGATACCACCTTACAACTCATGTCTCGAGGTGGGCCGTGAGCTCGTCCATCAATATGAACTAAAAAAAATTATTGAAACACGTAAAAGTTTTAACAAAATTTTAATATCAATTTCATGTCAAGAACTTGCTTTCAGGTTCTTACGTTCTGTGCAGCTTCAGACGACTGACTGACCTAGTGGGCCGAGTTCGTGAGCGAAAATTAAATTAATCTTTGAGCGCGTTTCATAATACACAACCTTGTAACCTGGAGTCGGTTAGGGTGGTAGGAGTGACGTTAAGCCGTGATTTATGCCGTCGTAAAGTTGAACACGGTTGTGCCCTCGCGTTCACTTGTATAATTTATCGCGGACGGCTCTACGCCCTGGTCACGCTTGACCAGAGCCTAGACTCGATTGCGCCGCTGATTTATAATCAACTGGACTTCTATTGTGTTTTGCGAAATCTGTTGCGAACTTATGTAGTGTCGATTTCATTATTAGATCGAAAGTAAAAAAAAAAATTCAATACATACAAAACTTAGAGACTGTGTATGAAAATGAGTTAATTGTAATTGCGAGTGTAGGTAGGTAGGTACTTACTAGTGAGATCTAGCTTCGATGTGACTGTTGCTGTGATTATGAAAAGTACTCATTTCTCGATCAGCCTATATATTATACAAGCGACTATTACGCAAACGCCTCTGGGACTTCATCACCTCGAAAGGCATCCTGATCGAAGAACAGTTCGGATTCCGCGCGAACCACTAGTGCATTCAGCAAGTGTACCGCCTCACTTAGCACATCTTACTAGTGCTAAATAGACGCAGAGTAGTCCTCACAGGAACCCTCTTTTTCGATATTGCGAGAACGTTCGACAAAGTGTAACACAACGGTTTATTTTACAAACTGTATAACATAGGCGTGCCGGACAGTCTCGTGCTCATCTTACGAGGTTTCTTGTCGAGCCGTTCGTTTCGGTATCGAGTCGAGGGAGCTCGCTCTCTCTCGCGACCTATCTCGGCCGCAGTCTTGGAAGGCTCCGCTCTTCCCTCGCTACTTTTTAGCCTGTTTATTAACTATATATCCCTATCGCTGGCGACCCACTGAGACCTTTTCGCGGTTGATACTGCTATCTACTACTCGAGAAGGGAGATGTCGTTAGTATCTCGTCACCAATTAGGCGCGGTAATTTCACTTTCGCCATAAAAACTTTTCGCCAACCCATATCGTGGGCTTCGAAGACTAAGTAGGTACTTAGGCGTCACTCTCGACAGGGGATGACATTCGGGCCCCACATTAAGTCAGTACGCGACCGAACCGCGTTCCTACTCGGGCGACTCTACCCCATGATCTGCAAGCGAAGTAAATTGTCCCTTCATAACAAGGTGACACTACAAAACCCTTATAAGTTTTATCATTAATCTATGCAAGTGTAGTGTTTTTGCTCACGTGGCCTGTACACATATTAACTTTCTGCAGCTCATCATTTCCGTTTATGCACGATAGCCGTCGGAGCAACATGGTATGTGAGGAATGTAGATCTTCAGGCCAACCTAAATCTAGTACCGATCCGTAAGTATCTTAAGAAAGCGTCAGAATGCTATTTCGACAAAGCAGCGCGATACTCTTGTCGTGGCCGCCGCTAATTACTTATCCGACTGCGACGCCCGAAACATGTCTTGTCGGATTCCCCGGATTCACGCTCGGTGCTTTTAAGACTCTCAAGCACCGGTCACCATCCTCGTTGAATTCGTCGATTACGACGAAGAGTTCGACGAGCGAACTAATAATCCATAGACACATCTCACTGAGTTTTTCGCCGGATCTTCTCAGTGGGTCGCGATTCGCGCGGTGATAGATTCTGCGAAGCACTTGCTTTTGGCTAGTGTTAGCAAATTATCTCAGGTTGAGCCCGTGAGCTCACATACCCGTCCGGGCGTAAGTAAAATAGCCCCTTAGGCTACCAGCGAATAGGTAGGGGAAAAGTACTCATTTATTAAAACTCACTCGTCGTACATCAATGCTTTTATGAAAAAAAGTTTCCCTATAGTGCCAACAAAAACAGTACCAAGTTTCAATATGTCCAGATGCGAAACAACGTGCGTTCGTATCAAGTCACAGGAGGACAAACAGTCATTAATTTTATATAGGTACTTGTTGATTTACACGTTTCAAATTATAATGCGGCGCAGTATCAAAAATATTAATTACACTGCAATCTTGATATAATCGATTCATCATTTCGCGTTTATCGCGGTAATACCCAGTCGATGTCATTTTTGCCTACGTTGTTTTGGTACACGTCACCATAATAAACATATCGATTATTATCACTGTGATGAAACCTAACTTTTATTATCGATGGATGGAAATAACATAATTTATGTCAATCGACGATGACATAAATTATGTCTATGTTTCGATTATAAATAGACAGATTATAAAATATTTACCGAACTATAATAGAAGATATATAACTATAATAGAAAAGAGTTCAAAAAGTATACCTTGATCAGAAACCTGTTGGAAACAATACAATACCGCATTTGCCGATTTTTAGGCAGACGAGCATAAACCACTTGCTAGCTATCTTCGCTCAACAATGCCATATGGACATTTATCTGCTGGGTTAATTTTCATTTATCTGTATAATAAGACTTGCCTTGCTTCACACGTGCGCATTAAGATACTTTGTTGAATTCAACTTCTAGATCACAGGATCTTTCTTTCTATTTTATAAAGACCATAGCATAGAAACTTTGTCTCTTAAAAGAAATTGAACCAAGCTCGCAACGGAATATTTATATATAGGCATCGGTCATTTGAATGTCATTTTTAACTTAAAGGTTTCTCTAATTCAGTAATTCATTTAGTAATGGGATTCCAATAGTCAAAATTTTACGTACCTATTATATTTTTTTTCTTTTTATGTCATTGATACTTTGATGAAAAAAAGAATTACCATTTCGATATTATTATCTTCATCAATAGCTATATTTTTTATTCTCTTCAACTGCAAATGAGCGTTCGTTCCACCCGACATTGAGGAGTCATCGTTGCCCATGGACATCAGCGATGCCAGAGACATGCTTCAGATAGCGCTATTCAAAACTCTTTTAAAACATTATTTCAAGAAGGTTTTGTCATAGTGGTATGCACATGTATTACTAGTAATATCTATGCTTACGGCCGTCTGGTGTAGTGGTAAGTGACATGGTCACTACATAAGGGGGTCGCGGGTTCGAATCCCGCCAAGGGAAGATGTTTGTATGATAAATATAAATGTCTTTTCCAGGGTTATGGATGTATATTAAATATATTATGTATGTGTATAATAAAAATCTTACATTTATTTCCGTTATCTGGTACCTGTAACACAAGTTCTTTACGAACTTATCACGGGACAAGTTAACGTGGCGTGATTGTTAGTAAATATTTATTTATTTATTTATTATTTATTTATACTACAAATAAATAAAATTAAAGTGTCTGTTTGTTATGTTAAAGTAACCGCTTTTTACTACATGCATATGAATGTATATGTGTATTGTTTACAATTTTTGTCTGTCTGTCTGTTTGTTCCCGCTAATCTCTGAAACGGCAAGACCGATTTTGACGAGACTTTCACTGGGAGATAGCTGATGTAATAAGTAGTAACTTCGTCTACTTCTATTTTAGAAAAACTCGTTAAATACCACGCGGACGAAGTCGCGAGCGCAGCCACTTTTTAATATTATTCGATTTTATTCTTCGGAAGAAATTATAAGCTGAACTGGTTTCTGAAAAGTTGAAAATAGTTTGATATTCCACAGATTCGTTTGATACTTAGACGGATACTTTAAGTTATCCAGTCGATTTAAGCTTTAATATTATTTTTAAAGACAAAATTAAGTATCGGGAAACCACCATCACTAACCCACCTTGATGTTACGTGACAAATATTTTTTTAAACGGCATTACGTTACTGTACCTACAAATCGATGCAAGATATGATGCCTTATTATTTAAGTCTCATGAATATTGTTTAATATCTATAGATATGGCACATTACATGGTATTCATTCACAGTGACACGCAGAAAATCATTCAACAAATCCATTTCATGACTGAACATAATTCAATTCAACAATTCGTATCTTAAAGTACTTACATGGATTACTACGGGAAACCATCATAATATTAATTATTCTCTTATCATAAATGTGATATCGAGATATTACATACAATATACTAAAATTTGTTTTATTAATTTATTCCTGGCTATTTTTTAAAACATCGGAATATTATAAACTAGCGACCCGCCCTGGCTTCGCTTCGGAAACATTAAAACACACATGAAACAAAAAAAAAAAAATTTAGCCTATGTTCATCAGGGACAATGTCGGCTTCTAATGGAAAAAGAATTTTTCAAATCGGTCCAGTAGTTTCGGAGCCTATTCGAAACAAACAAACAAACAAATCTTTCCTCTTTATAATATTAGTATATATATAGATATAGATAAACATTAGTCTTGTCTTTGCGAACGCTCTTGAGCTGATCCTAGCTTAAATTCAATTTAAATAATATTAAATGTAGTTTCAATGTATTTATATATATTCTTTATTACTTCATTATTTATCGATAATGAAAATCTAAAAATATATAGCATTCATTTAAAAGAAAGCCGTCGTTAGATTCTTAAAAAAATGGAGTACAAAATTTATGAAAATGTATGTAAATATTTCTGAGGCGATCTGAAGTGTTCAATATCGCGAGGAAATGCTGCGAAAACTCTCGTTTGCAATCGATCGTTGGGTGTACCCGATGTGGTGTGGATTGGTCAATGGGCGTGGTGGTTGTTATCATGGAGATGCCGTAAGCCAATAGCGTAAAGGCGGTGATAAGAGGGTTGGGGTTGCAACGGCAGGGTGGCGGCAGTGTGTTACACGGAGCGGCCCAGAGCAGCCGCGTTCAAAGATGTTAGGTGCAATGATGTACCCCGGTACCGAGGATCCAACGCTGGAAGACATGCGCGTACCACCGATTCAACTCGAGCACCTGCCTGAGGTGTTCCTATGTACGTAGTGCTGTGATTTGTGTGCGTGCTTGTGTGCTCTGTTTGTTTGTTGTGATCAAGAAACAAGTGTAAAAATTCTAAATAAGTCGATTTTAAATTTACGATTCTTTTTTTATTATTCACTTAGTTAGGACTTATTAATTGAAATATCTGAAAGATCAAACTTTTGTTCTAAAAATAAAACAAAAGTTTTTATAATATTTAATAACCTCCGTTTTATTCAGGAATATTTCTGAATAAAACGAACTGTTCCTCATTGTTAATAATTTAATTAATTAATTTGGAATTTTTGCACTTTTTAGATTCTTATTTTCGCGATTAAAGAAGATGGGATATACATACGTAGGTATAAGTTACATGTACCTAAATAAAATTAACTATTGATTACTTTTATTAATTAGATAATAACAATGTATTTATTACAATAATGCCACTAACTAATCAATTTTATTAATGATTACGTTGTGTATCGATTTTTTGTGACGGTATTTTACTTAATTTTTATACACATTCGGTATACCTACTATTTGGTGGGGATGTGCCATGACGGGGGTTGTAAAAACGTACAACAGAGAAAACTTACATTGATAGCTTTAGTGTTTTTCAAATTTAGAAATGTTTAATCTCCGAATATATAGTTTACATACATGTATGTATAGTTTTTACTGGTGGTAGGACGTCTTCGGAGTCCGCACGGGTAGATACCACCACCCTGCCCATTTCTACCGTGAAGCAGTAATCCATTTCGGTTTGAAGGGTGGGGCAGCCGTTGTACAGTAAAAACGGTGACCTTAGAACCTGTGTTTCCAGGTAGGTGACTGCATTTACGTCGTAGGTGTCAATGGGCTCTGGTAACCACAACACCGGGTGGGCCGTGAGCTCGTCCACCAACTCAAGCAATAAAAAAACAGAATTGTCAGTAAATTATTTTGCGAGTAGACTTGTCGTACTGAAATGATTTGATCGGTAGTGGAAATCAATAATGCTAAATTAACGTTGTAATTATAAGTAGTTTATTTCAGGTACATAGCTTGTTGCTCGCTATCAAATTAAATCACGTTATTTCCGAAGTAGAGCCTGTCGAAATATTTCATGAATAAACAAGTATTAGGGTACCTATACTTTTTTAGTGTTGCCGATTTTTACGGTTAGGTACGTTTTGTTAATCTCATCACTAAATAAATGTTTAATTTTTTATTAGTGCACAATAAACTTAATATGATTCACGAATATTTTAATTCATTACGATGCGGGATTTCACCGTTGGTAGCGAAATTGTGAAATCATTCAAAATAATAAGGACTTTAAATAATCTATTCTCGTATGTGAAAAATTAAGAATATCGTTGTTTTTCGTACTCGAATGAAGTTCCGAATATTGAGCCCAGCTTGTATTATACGAAAGATATTCATGAAATTATCGCTAGAGGGTTTTACGTTTTTTTTTTTTTTTTTTTTTTTCAGAAGGGTGGATGAGCTCACAGCCCACCGGGTGTTAAGTGGTTACTGGAGCCCGTAGACATCTACAACGTAAATGCGCCACCCACCTTGAGATATAAGTTCTAAGGTCTCAAGTATAGTTACGACGGCTGCCCCACCCTTCAAACCGAAACGCATTACTGCTTCACGGCAGAATCCAGACGTCTTTCTATTAACACAGTTTTTCATGATTGACTTTGGCTTTCACACAAAATGCAGGTCTGTGTATTTATTATAATTACGATAATTCCTCTTAGTCAAATTGCGAGCCCACAAAGAAATGATCGTCTTGCCTATTTCTGTTCTGAATTTGTTTCGGTTTGAAGGATGGGACCGCAGCCATACCAACCAATTAAGAATCTGACATCCAACGGTGAATTCGTTTATTCATCCAAGTTAAAAAAAAACAATTACTTAGTTCTTAACAAAAAAAACATTAGGTATGACTTTTTTAATATGTACATAATGTAAGTAGGGCTTAGCAGGAGTACCTAAGTATATCACTGCTTAGAATAAAACAAGTGATGTTATTGGTAAGGTTAACGTGAAAACAACTACAACACTTTTGAGTTAATTATTATTTCTGGTTTACTCTATGATTCTGGTTATTTACTCACATTTTGTGTTGAGTGGTAGATTTAAGATTTTCCATAATATCATTAAAGTTAAAATTTCATATGATTTAAGTAAAATTAAGTATATTTGCTTAAGCATATTTAATGTTCTCCAAATCTGATTTAGCTTGGTACATTTTAATATATCAACGCGTTTTTTATGTTGTATAATGGAAGTTGATCTTACCCACTGAAGTATGAAACCTATGGAAATTAAACGTCAATAAAAAAATCGTGCCACTGTGACGTTATCTGCTCCATAATGAAGTTAAATATAGGTATATAGATAATAGTTTTGGGGTATCGACTTTCTTGAGATCCTATAAAATATGTTTTAATTATTATTTTTGTACGTTTTAAGCGGGGTAGCATGATAAAATAAGAAAGGACAATGCCCAAAAGTGGGCCAACTTTATGTTAAAACTATTTGTACTTGAAAAACGATGCCTTATTTTTTCACGTTGTTTAGTTTATGTATCAACATTTCTTTCAACCTGGCATTGTTTTACAAAAAAATTAATTACTTATTTGATAACATCCCAAAGCTGAGTGCCATAGATTTTAAATTCGCCAATAGGCAAGAGGCTTAGCTCATATAGCCTTATAGTAAACCTATATGCTGCCAAACGAAAGAATTGTCTGTGACTTGAACAACAAATTAAAAAAAATAGCTAATGGTTATAATTCACAGGCTTTTTAGTTTATTTTTGTTCAATTCAATATTTATATATTGTAATAATAATTATTACTTAAAACCATGAATCATTTAATATTTTTAGATATTAATGATTCCATTAGTAAAAATCTCAATGTCCTACCATTACTCTATTCTTATTATATATGATCAGAGAGTTTTGGCAGCAACTCGAGTGAAGCGTTACTTGAAGTTTTATTTTAATGTTTTTTTAATAGTTTATTGTGATGTATAATATATAAATTGGGTGTTGTTTTGTGTATTAAACGTCAATAATCGTAGTTCATGATTATTGAGGCATTGGAATAAAACTGTGGTTAACATAGCAGTTACTGTTTTATTTTTTCAAGATAAAAGGTCTGCGGAAATTCAGGCTCACTCAATGTTATTCATCGAGTTGATGTCAAATCTCCCAAAAAGCAATAAAAAGAGAAAACTGGCTTTTTTTGACATAAAAAAAATATACCTACGACAGACTAGGCTGTATAGGCTACGCTCTTTGCCTGCTCATTGGCGAATTTAAAAACAACAACAACAATATTGTTGGCGGTTTCCGGATTTTCATTTCATTTTATATATTAAGAGGATATAATAATAATAAAATGTACGTAAGGGCTTATTTCTAGCAACGTTAACCACAATTAACTTATTTAATACTGTAAATAATGATGAGAGCGATCATTGATTTCGAAGAAAACAATTAACAACTTAATTTTAGCTGCAGAAAAAAACAGATTTCTCTTAAACCTGGGTGAGAATATAAAAATCGTTTTCTGAATATGAAACGATATTTCTTTGTCTATAAAATGAAGTTAAAACCATCATCACCCGACAACTTTTTTTTGGGGCCCAAACGCCCATAGAAAATGAGCATTGTCCTTTTATATAAGCAATCATAATTATTAAGTCGATATCAAAGTCAATAAATAATGTACAACCCAAAACAGACGGCTGAACTGACGTGACAATGACATTTGATGCGCTAAACATGGCGGATTTTCGGCCTCATTAGACATTTACGTATTTCATGTTTCATTTTATGTACGCACTGAAATACTATTAAATTGTTTTCCTGCGAGTTACAGTGCTGAGTAAGAACGAGATAGATATTATATATGTTTATGTGTGTGCCTTCAAAATGGGTGCTATTTATATAAGCAATTGTACGTATAGAACAATATGTCGTGTCCCTACTATATAGGTCTATGGTCTTACCGCCCTCTTAGTGTCAAATTATATAGCAATTATAAATACTTGACAGCTTACATCGGATACGCCGCATGTTCGTCTGCCTACAGAAGCAATAAAAATTACGTAATAATGATAACAATTCTCCTTCAAATCAATCACGTTTTTATGAAAGATAACCTTGTTATTTTTTATTATTTGTTTTAATCATGAGATAAGCTTTGGCGTTTGTTGATCTTCCGTAACTCAATCATGTGTGTTTTGTTGCAGCCAGTATTCCAAAATGTGGCGGTTGTCACGAGATGATAGTGGATCGGTACGTGCTGAAGGTGTCGGACCGGACGTGGCACGCCGGCTGCTTGCGCTGTGTCGAATGCCGCGCGTTGTTAACTGGAAAGTGCTTTGCGAGGAACAATCAGCTGTACTGTACCGAGGACTTCTTCAAGTAAGCCTCTAAATATAAACAAAAATCTATGAAAGCTTGTGTCTACAGTTGCTGTTGCTGTATTTATATATGTTTATATATTTATTAAATGTTATGTTAATCATAATAATTTGAAGTCGTCGTGGCCTAAAGGATAAGGTGCCCGGTGCATTCGTATGTATTCGTATGCATCGATGTTCGAATCCTGCCGGCAGATAGCAATTTTTCCAATGAAATACGTACTTAACAGATGTTCATGATTGACTTCCACGTTGAAGGAATAACATCGTGTAATAAAAATCAAACCCGCAAAATTATAATTTGCGTGGTAGGACGTCTTGTGAGTCCGCATGGGTAGATACCACCACCCTGCCATGAATCAATAATGTGTTTCGGTTTGAAGGGTGGGGCAGCCATTGTCCTGTAAAAACTGAGACTTGCAACTCATGTCTCAAGGTGGGTGGCGGCATTTACGTCGTAGATGTCTATGTTCTCCGGTAACCACTTAACACCAGGTGGGCAATGAGCTCCTCCACCCATCGAAGCAATAATAAAAAAAGAGAGATTAATAAAATGAGATGTGGAATTGTGAAAGCATTTCTGTGCTTGGTTGTGGCCTATGTGCGACCCTAAGGGGAAAAGTCGAACGTCCGAGGTCTAAGGCATTTGCTACTGTTTTCTGAATGTCTTTAAAGAACAAGTTAAACACACAAAAATCTTAAAACTTTTTCTCATTACCCGAATCCCAAATAGATTTTGTTGGAATTTTATGCGATCCCCATTAGAGGTGCCCGAAGGTTATTCCGCTGTCCCACCCGGGTATACAACTTTTTATGTCACGTTGATAATGTTGTTGTGATTGCGGCTGTTGTCCCAGGCGTTTCGGAACCAAATGCAGTGGTTGCGGGCAGGGCATACCGCCGACTCAGGTCGTACGTCGCGCGCAATCTCACGTCTACCACCTGAGGTGTTTCGCCTGTGCCGCCTGCGCACGTACCCTGAACACAGGAGACGAGTTCTACCTTATGGAGGACGGGAAGCTTGTCTGTAAACCGGATTACGAAGCTGCCAGAGCTAAAGGTTGGTTCAGACTTTCTATCATCAGCTAGTGATGTAATAATGAAAATATTCAGTGAGACCCTTTTGATTCATCGATTATTACTATTTCGTTGTCTTGCAATAGTTTAAAGTTTACGCGCGTCAAAAAAAGACTGACGATTTTTATTTAAAATGCCTGCCTAAAAAAAATTCTCCGTAGTAGTGGTTAAAAGTACGCTTAGTAAAAGTAAAAGACTTTTGTACTTTTACTAAGCGTATTTTTAACCATCATATGTCAGGTTTACGCATGACTTAAAACATTGTTTTCCTAAAGAACATGACATAGTATTCTCTAATATAAATTCCGGTTGCAAATGCTTAGATAATAACAGACAGTATGTTCCTAAACAGAGTCTCATCCTTGTGTTATACTTATATATAAGTATATATTTTAATACGGTACTATCATTAATGACTCGGGCAGTTCTTAAATCAAAACAGATATACCAAACGCAGGTGGGGATGGCTCGCTCGACGGTGACGCGGCAAGCAAGAGGCCCAGGACTACGATTACGGCCAAACAATTGGAGACTCTGAAAAGTGCATACAGCAGTAGTCCGAAACCAGCGAGACACGTGCGGGAGCAGCTCGCACACGACACGGGTCTGGACATGCGGGTCGTACAAGTTTGGTTCCAGAACAGGTTAGTAACTTTTTAGAATATGTATTATACAGTATTCAATCTGAATTCACCACTATAACTAAGACTGGTATACAGGTAACTAATGAAACACAATTGTATGTAGAAAGATAATTGAGTAGATTATGAGAACCAAATAAGAAACTAGCAAAATTATCCTAAGTAGTGTTTCAATAGAGATCATGATTACTGCTGTAGAAATAAAAAAAATATGTTTTATATAAATTCTTATCGGACACATGCGACAGGGCAACGCTAAGCCGCCGTCGCCCGAAATATGTCTCCACTCTCGGTGCTTTTAGGCCCCTCGAGCACCGGTCACTGGCCTCGTCGTACTCGTCGATTACGCCGAAGAGTTCGACGAGTGAGCTAGCCCACAGACAGCCCACTAAGTTTCTTGCCGGATCTTAGTGGGTCGCGATTTCGATCCTGTGGTAAATTCTGCGAAGCAATGCTCTTGCTAAGTCTAGCGTTAGCAAATTCTCTCAGGTTGAGCCTGTGAGCTCATCTACCCGTCCGGGCGTAATTGGAAAATCCCCTTAGATTACCGGCGAATAAGTAGGGAAAAAATTATAATATAAGTATTTAGATAATACCTGTCGCCACGATTTTTGGCTTCTGAATATAAAATGTATGTTTCTTCGCTAAACATCCTATTGAAGAAATTAAAAAAAAATTGGTTATGAACAATCCATTTTTAAGAATAATACTGACGAGTTTTAGTAATTTTAGTATAAATGAGTCGACTATTATCAAAGGCGGCAATCTGACTTTTGGACAATGATTGGTAAATCAGAAAAACGAATTATTGACTTTGTATTCCATTGGCAGTCACAAAACTCTTCGGAACGACATCTTAGATAAATAACAGGTTAACTATTAACCTTTATTTAATGCAGGTTTTGAACCGTATTCTTTGAAGGAGACGATTATATTCAAATAAATCTGTATTGACATATCAATAAAAATTTTTTGTCCAAATGTACAGATTGCCGCCTTTGATAATAGACGACTCAAATATGCATTTTAAACTTCTGCGCAGTGGAACCAAACCCGATCCGATCTTATTTCGCGAAGTAAAAAAACATGAATTTCAATTCGTTTTGATTCGGAAAGCGCTATCGCTAAAAACCATAAAAAATTGTTCTTTCGGTTACTTATCTCGAAATTAATCACGCTTGACACGAGCAAAGTATCGGAATAGCGTTAAGCAGATTTTGAAATGCTTTACTGACTTAACAAGACGTACAAAGATAACGTTATTACGATCGAATGCGATAAACATTAATTTACAAACATCAACGCAGAACACCTGTTTTTTTTTTTTGGATATTCATCGCTCCTCGCAACCGCCTCACTTAAAGCAGTAGCTGATCATGCGATAAAAACAGTTTTTCTTAGATAACATTGTTTGTAATTGATAATCTAATCCTTTTTAATAAAGCAATTCTTTTTATTTGGGAAAATTAGCAATGCTGTAACATTAATTATTGATAAATATGTTATCGATTATTAATTTAGCTACGATGTTTTATCAGTTATCGGAAATGACGATAGCTGCCAAGTTTGTAGTTTTTTAAAGATCTAATCCAAGGACGTGGTAGCTCATAGTAAACGAGCTCTGCCTTTGGTTATTATCGTTATTTATACGTTTGTAAGAAGTCTGTTTGAACTATGCTTTGTGTCGCGTGAATAGCGGCAGTCACGGCCTGCGCTTTGGCCTCGCTTCGTAAAACGTTTATATGTGCAATGGCTAGTTTTATATTACGAATTGTAAGCTTGCAACAATAATCGTATTAACAATCGAACCTTTATGTTCTTAACCAAACGTACTTGATCATTGTAATATTCGTAAATACAAATAGCCTTCTGGCATTCAATTTATAACTTCAAAGCATTAAATATGTATGTTTTCGTTCCATTAAACTTGATAAGCTAGCACTCCTCTTGATTGTGAGTTGTCACTGTCGCTGCCAAGCCGCCGAGTATTCTAAGGTTTTTCTTCATACCTTGTTTTGAGGTCGAAAAGCGGAGTTTTTTCCAGTCTCATAGAAACATTGCAAAAATTGGATTACGCACTGTATATAAGTCTGATTTTTAGAAACAAGTACGACTTAAGCAAAACCGTCCCTGAAAATAATCAAATAGTTAAATCTATAAGACTTAATCTGCAAGAAAATGCGATCGAATATTTCTGAAGGTTTCTATTAATTTATATTTTGGATTGAGCGTTTGCTCGTAGCCCGGAGGCCTTTTCAGCTTCATCAGGAAGCGAACTTAAAAATTCAATCGGTAGGGAATTAGGGTTTGTTAACAACTCAATCGTCTAAAACAGATGCTGCGTTCCTATAACTTCAAACATTTCATTGTAATCGCAACGGCGAAAAATTCAGCTGGTCAATTTGTGTTTAGTTTCAAGTCAAAATGTTCGACGAATGCAATGAATACATGCTTTAATAACCGGTATGCCTTAGTAACCAGCGGGATAATTACTAGCATCTAATAGTACCGAGAGTGGATCCATTAAGACGTACCTTGGGCATCGACTTTGTTTGGATACTGCGGGGTTTTCGTATTAAATTGCTATCATAAGGAAGTGGTGACAGTGGTTTTCCTATACTTATGAAACCAGGCTAGGTTTCAGGCCAGGTAGGGAACTTGTCAAGTTCAAAGAGTATTCTTGACGTGCGCGCCACGTGTGCGAAAAGGACACTCGCATAAACCATGATGGGACGTCATTTTGGAGTGTCTTTTTTTTTGTTGCATAGTTGATATTTTACAAGCTTATATTAGACACTGAATCGTTTTATCGTGTCTGAATAAAAAAATAAAAAAAATTGGTTAGATCAAATAAAGTCATTTCAGAAAACCGATCTCCGTAACTAAACGTATGCTTACTGGAACTGTCACTTATCTGGGTTATCGTACACATTAGTGACAAAAAAAAATACGACACTATTATTTCCATAATTCCCTGAAAGCAGACATAACACGCCGATGGAGTCCCAGCGGGCTGGGCGGAGGCACTTTAATTAATCAAGGTCTTTGTTGAAGGCCAGGTCGGCTCCCCGCCGCTCTGCTAATAACAACACGCAAAACATGCGAGGGGTGTCTGTCTGTTTGTCCAATACACGTACGATTATATGTTTAAATTAAAAGCAATCGAAGCGATATAACGACTCGTAATAAAAACAATCTCAAGCTATGAGTTTATCAAACATAATTATATCAAGTGCTATTTATTTGAGCCACAGTGAACTTAACTGACCCGTTTAAAATTAAAACGGTACTTTTCCTGAAAATTTAAAGATAGAATGGAAGTCTGAATTTATAAGGTATGAAAATAATTAGTCTTAGCGAATTTGATATTTCAATTACACCCTTCTACGAGTAGGCCTAACATTCATTAGATAGAACCACAAAAAACTGCCAGTCATACTCATCAAGTTTTGAACTCAAATGTACCTATTTACTATAAAATTATTTATGTATATGTATATGTATACGGTATTCACATACAACATAGGTACTCTCTCAATTTCCCGACAGGAAAAATGAACGCCCACATCTCGAATTAACATAGAAACGTAATAAGGGGATACGTAGTCTTATTACTGATAGTTTATAAGCGCCATTTTGTCAATTAAATTACTCATAGCAATGTTTTGTGACAATATTCTGATTGCTTTTTTTTCCCACAGAAGAGCAAAAGAAAAGCGTTTGAAGAAAGACGCCGGTCGCACGAGATGGTCCCAATACTTCAGGTCGATGAAAAGCGGAGGTGGGTCACCGAGACACGATCGACTACTAGACAAGGACGAACTAAAAATTGATTTGGATTCGTTCAGTCATCACGGTAAGAACTTTTTTTAAAAGATTTGTGGACGGGGACGCGACTCATACAATCCTAAATAGTTACGATGCCCATAACAGTAATGTGGTAAATAACGCGGCCCACTTTGAGGCATAAGGTGGAAGTCACATAGAATAATAAAGGCTGATTTGATTTTTATTAGTTCGCCTTGACTAAGAATCGGGACCATGTTTTAGAAGAGTTTTTCTTAGTAATATTAGGTACTTGCTTGCATTATTTAAGTACTGGAGTTGTCGCATCGCTCGTTACTTTAGCTTACGACGACTCTGCGTGTTTCAATTGTTTAAAAGATATCATCTGCGTTGTGATAATCAAAGTTTACGTTCCAACAGATTTGAGTAACGATAGCTACAGTACAGTAGCGCTCGGTGCTGAAGAAGGGTCCCCAGCCGGTGGCGGCGGGGCAGGCGCGGCGAGTGCTCGCTTCTCTGCGACGCCGCCATATTTACGAGGGCATTCTCCACCGCATCCCCACTACCATTACCCACCAGATCACCTCGTTTATACCAACATCGGTAAGTTTGTATTTATAAATACATATTTAATCATTCGACTTAAAAAAGACTTCAAGGTTTGATGTACAGGGAGTATTAGAATCCTTCATGAAAACTATTAAAGAAAATAGTCCTGAAAATAGTACTGTTAACGACAGATAGGATAACTAAAAATCTCAATCAAGAACTTAACACTTGAAAATATCATATGATGATGGTATAGGATCCTACGCTAACTAGGAGGGTTAGATATGTTTATGTTATACGAATCCGCTAATGAAACACGAACATTCTACTTTTCAGGTCAAGCAATGAGCGGTGCAGGTATCGGAACGGGCGCGGGTGGTGCTTCTGATCTGAGTAGTTCGTCTTCACCGGCGGCGGGTGGGTATCCGGACTTCCCGCCGTCACCGGACTCGTGGCTGGGCGAGGCACACCACTATTCCCCGCGTGGCTTCCCCTAACGGCGGCCTCCGCCGGCGCACGCGCACCCAGCGCCCCCGCCGACAGCCGCGCCGCACACCCTCCCGCCACTCCTCGCCCCTTACCCCATACCACACGTACAACCGCTGGAGCTTGTGGTCAAACGGGAACTTTGAATACGAGTTGTCACTTTCCTAAACTAGGCGCTAATTGGTGCGCCGAGTGAACTTTTAATTGAGTGACTAATTCAGACAGTGTGAATTAAATGTAATTTTGTGAAGTGCATTAACGTCAAACGATGTCGCTCTAAGAATAACGTAGGCTATTCAGTACAATTGAATTATCATCACCTGAAAAACGTGCAAAATCATAAGCGAACACGACGGTTTATTGTTATTTAAATATTACTATGTAATTAGTTACACCTGTTTATATCAAACATGTTACATGTGAATACTTATATGTAATTAGTTGTATGTATATTATTAATGTAATAATATTTTGTAAAACTTAATATACACTATTTATCAAATAACATAAGTGATACAAATAATTTCTAAGTAGTTTTAACAATCGTTTAACTAGTAATATTCTACAAATTATCATTAGTGTAAATAATATAGCAGCTATTGTGGTAAAATAAATGTAAGTGAATAGTTAAAATAGGAAGTCCATAATTTTAATTATCTTTAATACTATACTATATATTACATTGTGCAAAAAAATCTAGTCGAAAAATGAATGGTACAGATTACTAAGAATATAATACACATTTGAAGTTTTATTTACAATCTGTGCGTCTATGGACTATTATATATATTTATAATTCGGTTGTAGCGACTCCCCAATATTGTGACATTCTTCCTTCGAGGTCGAGCGAGTCTTGGGAGTGTGTTGTTTTCTCTTGAATTACGGCAAAGTCATATTCTAAATGATAAGGCATGAGTCGTTGAAGTGAACCAAAATATGCAGCGTTAGGACCACCATTCGGCAATCTTCCAGAGCCGAATCGAAAGTCAGGCTTTAAAGCTGTGCCAAAAGATCTTGCACTACCAAAATGTTTAGACAAGAATGGAACTTTCGAAGTTTTTCCACTTAAATGTAATTGAGGGCTACTCCCCGACAACCCTTTTGTGTTCCTCAGAGTACTTCCATTCGAACGAATACCCTTTGATAAGTTATCTAATTCCTTGTCGAACAGCATTTGAGTGTTCTGTTCCAACATGTATTCCCAACATTTAAATTGTTCCTCTGGATTTGAAGCTTCCTCATTTCGGTGATCTTCTTTCTCTTCTTCAACACGAACACGAATTGCTCTAGCCACGCCTCCGCGACAACTCCGTCTTTCGGATGCTTTATTTTGCGATCGAACACTAGAGTAATGTTGATGGTTTATTGCTTCACTTAGAGGGCGATCACTTTGCCCGCTTGGCGAAGATCGATCGCTGCTCGGCTTTGACGGAGATATTGAGTGACAGCAAGGTTCCAAACGTGAACAACAACAATCCGATCGGCATGTCATTTTATTCCCGTTAATCGTCTGCCTTAATTCTCTCATCAAAAGGTCAACATCAGCTCTTTCATTATCAAACCTAATTACTATAATTGAAATACATTCTTCGACGCCATAGCTTTGGGCCAGGTCTTGTAATCTTTTTGCCGCAAGAACAGGATTTCGTTCTGCTCTTACTTCAGAAACTGCAGAATCTATACTAACAGCACCCCAGAATTTCCCATTGGCTAATATCAGAAACTCGTCGTCTTCTTTAATAACTGTCTGGATGATATCCGGATCTGGGACAGTATTGGGATAGCGACAGGAATATCCTAGACGTCTTTTATTTTCTATGCCCAAACTCAACGGTCCATTACGTCTACTTAAAACTGCTCTAGTATCGCCTACGTTAGCTAATTTCAAACTATATTTTTTTAACGCCTGTCCGAATGCGTTTTCTTGTACATTAATAGGAGATAAGTGGCACATGACCATGCAGGCTCCCTTTCTTTGACCTTTTTCTTTCAATTCTCTATGAGCCGATAATACTACGTATTTCATATATTCGTTAACAGTTTCTTTGATTGATTTCTCTTCAAGAACTAATCCTGGTATACTGGTTTGTAAAATTTTTGGTACTTCGATATCGGTTTCACCATCAATGACGGCGAAAAGGCCCTCTTTATTACAAAACGAAGGAAGACGTATTTGTGCACAATATAACTGCAATGATTTATCCGGGCATTCAGAAAATCCTGTATTCCACGGGGTCATGCCAGTTAATTCTTCGTGATATCCTGTTTTGTGGGTCCACGAAACTGAACGTCGCCCTGTCACATCTACTAAGCTCAATGGTCTTTGACATTTATATGAATTGAACTGTGACGGGTCCATTTGTAACTTTTTGTTACAAGATATATCTAGAAATTTTAATTGTTTAGGTGCAAGTAGCCGTAAATCTACCCTATCCAGTTCGTTGTGAGCAAAATCTAAAATCTTTACCGAAGCGCTACATGCGAACATAGGTACCGAACGCAGTTTATTCGAGTGAGCCCTAACGACTCTGATGTTATTGAGCTGAGGCATATTTTCCGGCAATCTTGAAAACAGGTTCCCCGAGAGTACTAGTTCCTCAACATCGGGCCAATAGTTGACACAGTTTTCTGGAAGCCGCGTTAAGCAGTTGTAGGCCAAATGTAGAATCTTTAAGCCACGGAATGCTATGAGAACATCTGTTGCATCGTCATTCAAGCAGTTAGCTGTTAGGTATAGGTACTCTAGACAATATGAGGTACATCTTGCCAAAGGTAAGCGGCTCAGTCTGTTATTTGAAAGATTTAAAACGCTCAATCTGTCACATACCGAAAAGAAGTTTTCTGGCAGTGCCTGTATAGAATTATCGTGAAGCAGTAATTCTTTAAGCGGAGCTCTTAGGCGCGGCATTGATGGTATACTCGAGATTTTATTATGGGCTAAATGCAGGTTACTAAGACTTGAAAGTTCACTACAGAACAAATGGTCTGGAAGTGAGGTTAGTTGGTTATTGCTCGCGTGAAGCGTGGTGAGGTCGGAACAGCCGCTGATCCATGGTGGTAGTAACGTCAATTTGTTGTATGACACGTCGATTTCTACTAAATTGATTGGTGGGACTGTACTTGTCAATGATTCTAATTCTGAAACAACGAAAATACACAAGTGTTAGTTAAAAATGTCAAGAATTTGTAAGTTTTATGTTCATATCGCAGGAGTGTGGTGGGTTTTTTATTAGGTATATTGCGTAGACGGACGATCCACGATCCACTTGGCTTAAAATGGTTAACGAAACTAATGGAAAATCTGTTAGAGGTCTGTAAAAGCTAGTCTATGGGCTCCGATAATTCCTTAACACCACTAAGACACATTGAGACAAAATATTACTGAATAATAAACAAATTTTTTTTGGGATTGAAGGATTACGGGTGGCCCGAAGGCCTTTCCAGTTTCAAGGCTCAGCCAGGAGGGGTCGGATTTGCTATCAGCTGCCCGAACGCCTCCAAAGGAGACCTAACAAGAGCAACTGCTTCGCGAAGGAATCTACCACCGGATCGGAATCGCGACCCGCTGTAAAGATCAGGCGAGAAACTCAGCGGGCTGATGCTTGGGTAAGGTTGCATGTCGAACCCTATGTCGAGTTCTACGAGTACGGTTACCGGGGTCCCTAAGTCTGCTCCTAGTGTTAGAGCACTAGCTGAGCACTAGCTAGCACTAGTGAAGGCGCCTAATGCAAAGGCTATTTAAGGCCCAGATCGTCGTGTAGGTCAACCTTCCTCACGAACCACGGAGCTCCGACGGTTAACCTGCAAAAACGGAACTGTAGGGATTGGAGGGTATCTATGTGCGTGCGGGCCGTGTGAGCGAACATCACACTCGCGTAAGTCATGACGGGCCTTATGCAGGTTTTGTAAAGTGTCACCTTGTTCCGAAGAGACATTTTACTCCGCTTATCTACAGATCATGGGGTAGAGTCTGCCGAGAATAAACGTGGCACGATCGCAGACTGATTTTATATGCGGGCGGAATGTCATCGATGCATCCAGGTAACGTCCAGGTACTTGAGTTTCCTGACCTAGGGTATGGGTTGTCTAAAGAGGGTAATCGGGGATGTGAGATTCCTCCTCCTAATAAATCCGGGAGGAAGTAATAAATAAGTTACTTAGAACGCCTATTAAACTTAACTTGGTAAGTGAATGAAGTTTCCACTACAAGTATGGTTAATTAAAATAAAATAAAATAATGAACTTACGATTGTGGGGGGCTCGGAGAATTCGTAAAGAGCCTCCATGAAGCGCCACGTGCTGGAGTGCATTATGTGAAGCGTATAGTTCCCGAAGTCCCCGCAGTGAAGACAAGACTAAAACTTCCACAGAATTATGCGATATATCTAAACATACTAAATGCTGAAAAAAGAAAACACCAATATCTTATATTTATATAAAAATAATTAAACAAAATATGCAAAGCTGAATTTATAAACATCTACGACAATAATAATAATATATTATAATATTAATAAATAGGTACATATTAGCATTCTTAAAAAAATATTACTAACACAAGTTTTTCTCTTTATTAACCTAGGCTATGAACGAATATCTCAACGTAAGACATTCAATTTTCAAACTTTTAAATTGATGATCCTTTTCCTTGGGATGTCAAAAAATTATGTTTTATTACCTCATAATTTCCGAGTATTATGCTTCCTTTTAATCTATTGTGACGTAAATCAACATTGGTTAGTGGAGTACGATATTCAACTTTATTTTCTTCATCCGGCGCCATTTTTCGATTTGAATTCTGGAAAACATTATTATTTACTCATTACATACACTTAATGTATTTTAATACACCGCAAACTTAATGCCTAAGAAATAAGAGATTTTCTACCAGTAATTTATTTACATTACTTGTAGAGAATCTCATAGATACATGCTATTCTAGAAAAAAATATAGTTAACCTTAAATGGGCCAACGAGTTCACTGCTAACCTAGAATTGAGTCGTTACCGGAACTCATAGACATCACAACATGGATGTCGCCACCAACCTTGAGACATGAGGTCGAAATACTTCGAGGCTCAAGCGGTTTCAAGCTTCAGTATTTGCTTTAAAAAAAATTCATTTCAATTTTGAAGTATCCCTGCTCGAATACAGATCTATGAGGTACGTATGTGTCTTTTCACTCATTCACGTTTGAAAAATTACAGAGTCATAAAAATATTGTTCTAAAGAATTGATTTTTAATACCCCAAAATTTGTTATGAGATTTCTTGCGGCCGACAGTGTTCGAAGTCGAGGCAGCCGTAGTATGTGATCTATCGAATGAATCTCGTTGTCGCCAATTTGTAGTTCTTCCAGTCTAAAATGTAAAGAGCCAGATAAAAACAATACATATTCAACGTTAAATACGCGAGGAAAATAGAAAAACATAAACTTTGCTATAAAAAGGAATGCTTTTTAAGGGTGCAAAAATTTATCGTTAATACAATTACGTATATATGTATATACATACGTTATCATAATTAATATGTTTAGTTAATTGTTATTTATATTTTTTACGTAAAGGAATAAAAAGTAGTGACTATGAACGAGTAGGTAGTAGTACTACCCTAGTTTAAGCGGGAAATAATATTTAGTTACTGAGCCAAGCACATTATATCAATATTATATACACATTTATTGTTTTACAGATTGATATTTCGTAATCCGAGTGAGATGCGACAATATTAAATAAATCTAGGTTCGCCCAAACAAATTTTGCATTTTTCAGTATTAAATCATGTTTTTTATGGTCTCAATAGTGGGAATTGAAAGTTATCATTAATTTTACGTAATGAAGACTTCGATCTCATCTCTCATGGTAAGCTAGAGTTTTCGTTTATAAACTCCGAGAGTGTAAAACAATAGTATTATATTTTATAGTATTATATTATACTTTCGAAAGTGCGATTTGTCTCATAATACACCTACTGTGACTGTCATTGTACTGCTGAATTAAATTTTCATAATATTAAGGTTTTATTTCTTACATCTCATAGTCCTTTAACGAATAAACTCGATTCATACTTCTGTTCAAATTATCTATCAACTTATTTACGTTTACGTTAATTTAATTAATATGGAACTTTGGTATCAAACACACATTAACTAAGTTAAAACAATACATTTCGTCTATAATATACTCGTGTTCTCGGATGTAATTCATTGCGGAAGACCCGGAAATCCGACGTTAATTAAGGCTCCAACGAAAATCGTTACGATCACAGATAATCGACACGGTCACTTAGAATGAAACGCCTTATCGTGTTCAATTTTTATCGGTTTGTTTTTACTAGTTTTCTTCCTCCAAGCTCCAATTATTAACGGACATCCCTAACAAGTTGCCTGTCATAAGCACTCGTGAATGGTTTGTTAATTTATTTCATTCATCCTTTCTAACTTACTGAATTTCCGTTTGAAGTATCCTAGCTAATACCTGAACGGCGAAGTTCTGGAAGGATTTGGTATTGGTCGATAACATAACAATATATAATCTGAATGAAGTATTCTGGCCTGCGGTGTAATTACTTTTGTCTTTAAAAAACCGCACGTATAAAAACTCTGTTAAAATGGGATTTAAACTAGTAAAATTAATAATTTCTTAGTAATACATATATACTTATTGTAATAGTATGTACCTATAGTAAACAAAATCGACCTATATGTCCGAAAACCGTGACCGACGCAATTAAATATTTACGGTAACACGTATGTACTTTGGAAAGTAAAATAATAAATACTAGATGTGTGAAAACATTACCGTCTGTTTGCAGAAATAATATAGTTAAATGATCATTGTCATATGATAACTATGATATATTTTTATGATATGTCATCACAATTGTCATATAATATAGTTAAAATATCAATGATTGCCTTGCCGCTAGAGAATGAATGGTCTTTACAAATCTGGATATCGTTGTGTTTTTTAGGTTGGAAAGAAAAATTATGAAACACAGAAAATACTTTACTGATTTTAATTTATTGATTTTGAATGTTTTTAGAGTTTAATCCTTAAAAGTTGATATTTTTAAAGCCCGTTCGAAACTTTTATGAGTAATAAAATTAAAGGTTAACAAAAACCATAATGTTTTTCATTCAAATAAAATAATATAAAAAATACTTTATTAAATTACTCTTGAAAATCAAAGCGTGGTATATATTTTTTACGACTTATCTGGTGTCAGTTTAATGAATTGTCTATTTGATAAATTTCCGTTTTACGACATTTAAGTACGTGTTTTAATATCTATGAATAGTAAGCGAAGTGATCGAAATATTAGTTTAGTCATTCATTCAATATAATTATGTTAGTGCTATTCAAGTAGAATATTTCAAAATTAATTTCACTTTACTTAATAAAATGATTTAAGCACTCGATAACAGATTGCAACACAGTAAACTCGATCCATATTATTATAATGATTATATGTAATATATCCATTTATTTACTGCCTTGGCTTGTTGTATGTTCAATGACATTTAAGAGTAAATTCTAGTCGTGCGTTGGAGCTTATATTCTCAGTATGTTTTGACTACAGTCTTCAAGAATCCATAGCTTTCTATTTGTACTATTTGTTTGTTGATTTAAATTAATACAATATTTTACGAAGGAGATTAATAAAACTCAAAAATATTTTGGTCAGCAATAAAATAAGTGGAATAAATACATCATCATCTTTTTTGGTAGGTATGTGTGGGATTCGATCGATTACTATGAAACTAGTGTGCATATATGTATATGAAGATTATTTTATCTATCAATACTGTACACAAACAATCAAAACAAGACTAACTACTCAGAAAATAGAAGAACGTGATAGACCTGGATGAATGGACAAGAACAACCTGGGATATTAAAATGGAGGCAGCTGGAGGAAGGCTTCACAAGAATTAGTGGGATTTTTAGTTTAATTAGTGGGAATTAGTGGGACTTTTTTTCTGTAATTAGCATTACATAGTCTTTTAGGGCACAAATAAAGGCTATTATTAAGTCTTAAACAAAAAGTATGTATTTTTCACATCCCTAGCATGTTTCCTTTCCAATTCCAAAAGTTTTACTATTCCATGAATTAATTAATAGAATGAAATTTTCTATTGGTCGTCTAGAACACGTGCAACAATAAACATTAATGTGTAATGCACTTATTATTACGGTATGATGCTATCGTTACGTTACTAGTGACAAACGGAGCAAGGTGAGAGTATAAACAATTACACGTGCACATAAATAACGGTGGTATTGCCATTATTTTTAGGTCACTAGTCTCATAACAAAATGAATAACTTAAATCTATTTAAATACTGAATGAAAAATTAAATTAAAATCTCAAATATATTAATATTGGTCAGATACAAAAGTTCGTAGATGAGCCTGTGATAAAGTCTAAGTCGTTCAAATGTATTAGATTGAGTCATGTGATTATGAGCAATTGAGAGATTTATTGGACCAAAATGCGCCCAACTAGTGTGGATCAAAATGCGCTCAACCACTGCTTAATAGGAATTAGAGGCAAGTGTAGAGTGAGTTAAACAACAAAATAAGGTGAATTCGTCGCTTACTACTGCTACGGATGAATTATAGGGCAGCACTAGCAATTACAGCTAAAGGCTCAAAGGCTACAATTATTCACTAAAAGTCTGCTACTTAGCCGTAAAATTATTATCATGTAAGATGATATTATTTTGAATAAATGATTTTTTTGTTACATTTTAAAACAACCGGTTCGATGAGAGAGTATTTTAATGAAAAATAACTTAGAATTTAAAATGTAATACGAGCCACATCTAGTACTAAATTTGTAAGAACAACATTTACTCACCAAAAACAAAAACAAAAAAATCAAATTATAACAATGTTTGGTAGCTCTTTGAGTTGTCTCACAGAGAAGCACTTCATTATTTTCAGTTCTGTGACCTTCAAACGATAGGGTTGATACACAAACTTTATTACAATGTGTTAAACTGTGGATGCTTCTAGTAACGTGAATGTGTTTGGCAAGACTGACCACATCGCGAGCGTTCTTACCGCCCCACTGACCACACACATTTAGCAAGAACCAGCAACGTTCTACCATCGATGTTACACACAGGCATTGTTGTACTATCTATGAATGAATCTATGAAACTAGAAAGTAATCAATAATATTACTCTTTCCTTTTACGTCTTCAAACAGAAGTATGGGTTGGCGACTAAGGGTGCCGTAATTTTCATTTACGTAGTGGGATGGTGTTGATGTGCTACATTAGTTTTGAGTATTAAGATCGAAAGATCAATTAAATTAAGATAATTATGTTCCAGAAAATAAATCTGCTAGAAGTAGTTATAGGCCCATGCCAGCAGATTATGTATGATGATACTGTGATGATACTGGCCTAATCATTAGTAAATTTATATAAATTGAATGATTGAAGGTTTCACTTTATCACCCGATATTAGTCCTTTATTACCTGACTGCTCTTATATTTAAAAGTTGTTACTGTTATTTCTAATTTAATTAAGATCTTTAATAATTTGTTTTGGATTGTTTTATTGTTAAATTACGGTTGCCTATTAGGTACCCACTTAGAAAGATTGATGCCTGTCGCAAGATGGCACTATGCCATAATCGCGTGAGGATCTTTACCGTGGGTTCGTAGTGAGAATTGCAATTCTTGTTATGCAATGTGATAAAGTGCATAGAAAGACAGATAAAATATAGCACAGATTAAACTAATATTGTATTCGCGTTTAATAATTAGTTAGTAGTTTAATTCAGCAGTGTAGCAGTGTCAAGAGCACTCTCGCTGCTTAGGTACATCGTGTAAGATTTTGGATTCGACTATGAACGTTATTATTCTTATTTATTTTTTCTTGCTTAATTTGAGCGCACGGCCCACTTGGTTTTAAATGGTTACTGTTATAACGTAAATGTCGCCACCCACCTTGAGTCATGAGTTACAAACTTATTACGGATCACTAGCACCTGCCTCTACTTTCTTCAGCAATCTTTTACTTAATGCATTTTTATGATTTAAAAGTATACACTGATTTGCAAATAAAATTCGATAATATTTAGTGTAACGGGTTCAGTTTTAATGTTAGTTAAGAGGGGTTGAGCTCGCGAGTGAACGTAATTCTGCACGGTCTACCGCGCAGATGTTGATAGTCAAACGTAGACATTCATAAAATTAGCACACAACGGAAATACATATAATAATTGTACTTGGTGTTTGAAGGTAATGACGATTTAATGTTCAAATTTATCACTGAAAAATAATAATCTCGGGACACTTTATCGTATCGCTTAAGCAAAAATTCGATTTATATACTCCTGTGGCTATTAAGAAAAAAAAAACAAAGCTTACGTACTGTGATGAAGGCTTACATTTATTTGTTCGGAAAAAGCAAACCAGCCGGAACCTCTAGACATTATAATATTAACCGAATCAATTAGAAATATAGAAATATTTGCTTTTTTATCCTAGCGTAGCATTTATGTATCGATAAGATGATATTCCTTTCAGGTTTATGATTTACTTAAATTTATTTTATACTTTTTCGTTGCTGCTGATAAAGAAAACTATTTTGAAGTTTTTAATTATTTTTTTAATTCTCACTAATAAATTCAGATAAGTTAATTGTAGGTTTTTGTAATACGTAAACATTTTGAGATTAGCTGGTTGGATCAAAATCGGCTGGAAGGCCTCAGTTTTGTTAAGATGGTACGGCGCCACGGTCTGTCAGTCGAGCGTTACAGAATGTTTCCAGTGACGGCAGCTTATGGCCATTTGTATGTACTTGATGTACACAGTCTATGAGTCATACACATGTGGATTCATCTTTCCAAAGTACAAACAATTTTTCGAAAACTTTTTTTTAACTTTATTTAATTTAACAGTTACAATAAATATTAATATTATTGTTTGTGATCTGTGCGATCGCTTTCGACACTCTATTTAATGAATCAATGTTTCGCAGAGAGATTTAAATTATTCACTATCTTATATTATTCGTACAAATTAAAATGCAATAAAAATTCTACTTACTGCGTAAGTCGACATATTTCTGCAGGCAATTCAGTTATTCTATTATCGCTCATGTCCAGATGCGTCAAAGCCTGCAAACTCCAAGTTTGCGGGGGTAGGGTAGAGAGTGCATTGTTGCACATGCGGAGTACTCGTACAGCAAATGCGCTTGACGCATGCTGTACCAAAGCTTCGCCTAACGATGCCCGCCCACCACCGCTTAAGTCCAGTACATTTGGTGGCTGAGTACTTTGTGTTGCCTGTAAAGATAGAACCGTTGCATAATATTGTGAGAGAACAGGAAATGCTATTAAAAGGTTGCGCGATGCTCGTTGCACTTTCTCTCACTGATGAACAATCTCAATTTTTCTCAAACTTATTTACCTATTGAAAAAAAAAACTGTTCTAGCAACCGTATTTAAAAGGTATTTAAAATTGCATTTTCTTAAAGCATGCAAGAGATCATGCAGGTAGGTATTTATTTTATTTTATTGCTTACATGGTGGACGAGCTCACAGCTCACCTGGTGTTAAGTGGTTGCTGGAGCCCATAGACATCTACAACGTAAATGCGCCACCCACCTTGAGATATAAGTTCTAAGGTCTCAATATAGCTACAACGGCTGATCTACCCTTCAAACCGAAACGCATTACTGCTTCACGATAGAAATAGGCAGGGTGGTGGTACCTACCCGTGCAGACTCACAAGAGGTCCTACCACCAGTATCACTCTTACTAAGGTAATAAAAAAATATTCGCATAATTATAAGCAACATCGTAATTTTTGGGTGCTGCAAATGGATAGATGAGCTCATGATAGTTCACACTGCTGACCAGACCGCCAATAGAGTCAATAGACAACACAACGTGATCCACCATCTGCCTTGGAACACAAGGTCGAAATTTCCAAAGCAATTGTTTGTTATCTTACTCTTCATACACAGTATTTACAATTTTTTATATTTTTACTTTATCGAATTGCCTCGATATGGTAATAGAGTTATTGAAATGAAAATGAAACTTTATTTTTATCGAATTGGAATATGTGCTAAAATATGTTTGTTAAAAACTACACGAATGTAGTCTAAGATACGCGTCGTAGCTTCCGGCGCCCAGCTTGAGACATTGGTATCAATGTTCCAAGTAATAATAATTAATTAATAATTCCAAGTAATTAATTGTAGTCGTCATGGCCTAAAGGATAAGACGTCCGGTGCATTCGTATCGAGCGATGCAACGGTGTTGGAATCCCGCAGGCGGGTACCATTTTTTCTAATGAAATACGTACTTAACAAATGTTCACGATTGACTTTCACGGTGAAGGAAGAAAACATGGTGTGGTTAGTGCGAGTTTTTTAATTTCTTGATCGCGTTAAAGTTAACTCAAATTTGTATGGAGTTGGAACAGCGTCCCTACGTTAGCCGCAAGCTTTTTACTTTCATGGACATTGTCAAAAAAAAGCGTATACAAAACCGTCGAGAGAGAATGTGGATGAAAGCGTGGGTGTGGAATTGACTCAAAATCGTTTGAACCGGAATGTTTTACTAGTGAAACCAGGCTCTCGGATTGCTGTAAGGACTTACGCGTTGATTGATGGTACTAAGTCATAAGCATTGTTTGAACATGCAACATTCATTCAACTCAACCATTATAAATAATTAAACACAAAAAAGCTACAAATCAAACCTATGCAAGCCTACAAAATATTTATTTTCCAACAAAATATTTGCACTTTACATTCATTTGCTATATTTATTACTCGTATAGTAATGTGTATAATTAATATTTTACGTTTTAAGCATCCACTAAAAAATGTTTTATTAAATTTCAATCCCTAACGCGGTAAAATAAATAAGGGATTAAAGATTGCATGGAATTCCGACATTTTCAATTTGACAAGCACGAAATTTAGTAAATCTAATCTGTATCGCTTCTGGATAAATGTACACACAGTATTCCGGCGTTTCTTCAATATTTTATCGTTAAGATTTTATGACGTCGTCGATTACGTCACCGTTCAGACCATTCTCTTTTGGAATTCATTCCCGGTACGTATACGACATGCTGAAACATTAAATGGCTTCAAACGACTAATTAATGAGATATGAGAATTTGTTTAATTTTTTTGAGAGTAAAATGTCTAATTATTTGGTAAAAAATACCAAAGCTTTAATATTTATGTAAAATGCGATATTTACGTATAAATTGATTGTTCATTTTATGTGTTAAATAGTATATTTTTTTATAATAAATAGTATAATACTTTATGTGTTTAATATTATATTATTGGTATTTATATGTATATTATTTTTCCAATCCGTTCCTTTCCTTAGATGATTCTTGTGTACCTGACGATTGTCTAGAAGAGATCGCTCTTAGGCATTAGATCGCCCATGATACTTGTTGTATTTCATGTTTTGCATTTGTTTTGGTTTTAAATTGGTGTGCATTAAAAGCATACTCTACTCTACTCTCAAATAGAGAATAAAGGGTTAAAAGTTCACATGGGAATTTCGTCACTTTTGAAAGAAGAAGCATTTAATTCAGTATTATAGTACAATTTCCTGACTCATGCACGCGAAATCGGGCTAACAATTTTTGAACGAATAAAAGAAACTGAATAAAAGGCCTCATAAATATGTACGTAAAATAATGTTATGATAGCGAAATGATTTATCTTATGATGAAATATTTGCACCCAGCATTCATAATCGGAATGCGACCGCATTGGGTCATTAAAATTTATGAAAGCGTCTAGCTATGGCAGTTATTAATCTTTGTGTAATTTAATGTGAAGATTATAAACGACGGAGAGCTTAATTACGCTTTTTTGTCACAAACCGATCAATGCTCACTACTTGTAAAATCCATAACACAACTGATTTATGATGTCTTTTTTTTTCTTTTTGTTATCTTCTTAGATACGTACCGGAAAATCACATTTTTCCTTCAATGTATTCGGCTCTAAGCTGTCCAAAAAGATATCAGAAACAGGTTCGAAGACATCCAAACTGTCTATTTCTATTGCGTCGAACTTCATCGTGTTTCCTTCCACCATCACTGATTTTACACATTTCACATTGAGCACATCACTACATAGATTTACGGAAATACATTAAAAGTTCTTCATTTGTCAAAAGACATTTGTGATCTGAAGGAAAGCAGAATGCCTGTCTGTTGCGGTGGATAATCACGCCGGGGCCGACGAACTTCGATCATTGTTACGCCCAAACACTACAAAATAAATTCTAATCCTCGATATTCTAAACACGGAGCTGGTGCCTGCGCAAACGACATAAAGCGTCCTTGGACTCGGTCGGCTTCGCAGGAATCCCGCTGATGTATGTTTGATAGCTCCTCGAAGTACGTGTTATTATTTTTAATGAGCATACAAATGTTGCTTTGCGCGGGTAAGTGAGCCGCACTGTCGTACGATGGAGAAACGCTGGATGTGTAAACTTCAAGTTGGTTTATACGAGAGTCGTCTGTGTGTCGTGCTATCACTAGTCGTACTGAGGACATCTCAACCGTAAAATTTCTTTCGTAGTTGGGCCAACGCAATTTCTCATAAAAATAATGAATGAAACTATTCCAATATTTCACTGCTATTTTTTTTATTCTAACAGAATTCTACTTCTGTTATGCGATGAAATAGCGGCTTGATCCTGATGTAATTGAAATAAAAATAAAATGAAACCAACAGTTCTTAAAAACTATGTAACTAAATCCTGTTGCATAATCGCTTCAATTATAAAGAAAAAAACATTATCTAAGCAATTTTAAGATGCAAATTGAAAAATATGCATAATCACCTAGCGAGGCTGACATTGTCAGTGTCAATGTCTTATATATTTCGCTAGTCGCTATTACGATGTAGTAATATACATAGATCCCATGTTTTAAAGGGGACAACAACTAGAAAGAATAATGCACGTTTTGTAACAATATCTTATTAGGAATGTAATTAGGGCTGACGTTGAAATCAAAATATTCAGAATTGCATAACATGGAAACAAAATAGAGAAACTCATGATGTCGCACAACCCTAAACTGATTGACATGAAACTGCGCATTCAAATGTCAAAAGACTTTGATAGGCTTCAAGAATTTCTAGCTATTCCGTTGTTGTGTTGCCGGTTCGTTAGTTTGAGAAGTGTACCGGAATGAAATTCTCAATCATCTGCTAAGAGTTTGTACAGAACACACAACAAAACTGTTTCGAACAAGTAGATTTGTATTTTATTATAACTGGAATGCTTTTTACAACTAATCACTTTACCTAACGTTGTATATTTATATAATGACGCTTAGGGTTATATTAATTTTGCTTTCCAGAGGTAGTACATTGTAAAGAAAATGACATTTGAAATATCTATTAAAATCAGAATAGTTAAAAAGGACTAATCAAGTTACTTACTTCTTTGAGCCAGCTGAACCAAATGTTCCTTTCCCAAACGGTGCTGAATCCTAAGAAGACGTGATTTGCATTATTGTCACATGGCAAGTTATTACTTGGCCGGGGCTTTACGCACAACACAAGTCTTTGCGCTTTTGGGGGGCAGAAGTCTATGTTTCCTCCGCTTAACTCCAGCATCTCCCAAGTAGTTCCTAAAATGTAGCATTAGTTTTACAAAATTTAGGGCAAACAATCGTTTTGATTTACTGAAAGATGTTCTTAGCTTACCATACGTGTGCAGCCTTGACCCAATGATAAATGCAGGTTTCGGTTTCCATTGTGGGAAAACGTGTCCTTTTAAAACATATAAAGTTCCAGATCTCAAAACACCTCCATGATTTCCGGCTGGTCCAGCACACCATCGTAATGACTGTCGCAACTCAGGATCAACAGCTAGACGTTTTCTTCGTGATTCTGATCTCCATCCACATGTTGCTAAAAATTGGTCTTGTATCCTTAGGGGGTATTCATCAAGTTCAAGCCGTCTCGATTTTTCCCCACCAATTTGCATCCATAACGTTGATTCATCAGTAAACCCAAGGTCTTTGTTGATTTCTTCAACAGTTGTACTCAAAGTAACTTTCACCAATTTACTGGGTGCATCAACTGCGAAGGGTTCAAGGCCTTCGAAAACTCTGATCCAGCCGTGTTCGTCTTGATTACGAGACTTAAAGCCGCGAGTAGATGCAAGACGGCGAAGTGACTTGCGACGCACGTGAGGCGATGAAGCATGCAAGCTATCATCACACACCATGGCGCGCGGAGGCAGGTGCTCGCGAGGTACGATGTCCGACGACGCAATGGCCGCACGCCGGACTCTGCGCCCGCCGCTGCTACACAAATGGGTCAGATGCATGGTGGGGGTGGGAAACATGTTCATCAGTCAACCGGGAACACACGTGAATACAAATTAAACCAAATATAGTCATTAAGGATTCACCAAAGCTACCGTTTATCTACTATCATCACGTAAGAAGCAGACATGGAAATCAGTAGAAAGATTTAATTTTTTATTCGCCAATACTGCATCCGCGTATGCAAAATTCGCGAATAAAAAAGTCTGCCTTGATTTTTTTAGCTACTTTAGTGTGAGCGTTTAACGAACATTAATCAAGTACCTACTATAATGATTTCTACAAAAACTAAAAGGCAAGTTCCTAATAGCCTGTTTGAAGTTATTTTAGAGAAAGGGGCCATCGAGTAGAATGGTTGGTTATGGTTCGGTAGTCACCCCACCTGCTGACTCACCTGCTGCGCTTGGGCACCATGAACCCTTCAAAAGGTATGTACTATATGTATTGTCTTCCAGGATCTAATTATATTTCGAACAACTTTGGAGTGGCCTTCTATGAATATTTAAAAAAAAAGTGAGTAAATGTGTTAGTCAACAAATGGTTCTATACTATGTGAACAGATGATCTTGCTGCCAATTTATGGACAAGTCTCCATTACATTGGTACAACAGTTATCATACCCTAGAAAAGTAAAAGCAAGATTTCTTCATGGTACCAATACACAGATGTGCCGACACTTATCCAGAAAGAGTTCTGACAAACTCTACAACCAGTATTTAACATAGCGTCTGGTGTGCTATGTAGAAGAAAAAAAAAGAGAACATTGTTATTGCAGAGGAATTTTATTGACAGGGTGGTATTCGTTCACATCAGAGTTAATGTTGTGGGTTTATGATTTATAAATGAACAAAAACTTTGTAACTCGTAGGTACTGAAACGCATTGTCACATTCCCCAAACTTTCAGGCCTGTCACTTATAAAACAGCGCATTGCCTTTGTTTGGCAAACAGAAATCGATTAACCGTTACACTTTTAATTGGATCAACGAATTTGGAACCCCAGAAATATAAATAATTATTTATGGAATATAGAACATAATTCTTTTTTTGCATTCAGCTTAAGATGAACTCAATCAATATTAACCATGAAATATTGGGAAATAAATTTGCTCCATAAATTTTTCATGGTCACTTTTTCGATAATTCCGGAGTATCTTCAATAATTAAAACGATATAAAAATTAAAATATAAAAAGTCGTTTAATAATTCACAGGTTCCTTACAAAATTTAAGTATAGTTTTATGACCAAGGATAATTCTTGTGAAGAAGTTTCGATCCACATGAACAAGTCGCGTTGCACATTCCTTGCTTGCAGAAACCGTCGATATTTTTTACGAGCTCATCGCAATTAGAGTAATAGTCACGAACCGGACAGAAATTCGTGCACAAAGACTCAGATGTGCAGTGATCTGGGCAATCCGAGCATTTCTCACCAGTTTTGTATGGATACTGTGCTATTGTGAGGATGTTGCCACTGAAAAAATAATAAGATATTTTTTACTCTACTTGAAATTAATTTTTGGGAATTTAAACCAATTCATGCATTTATAATTTAATTATTGTACTACAATAAATATATTTTATTAAATTATACAATTAAAAATGATGATACTTAAAAACAAACGAAACAAAAATAACCCGACTATAATTAGCTAGCAGAATATTGTAAAATGCACGAATATAATATTTATTGTGGCCTTGATTATTTTTCTGAGAGTCTATGCGGTTTACGTTTTTTATCCAATTGAGATGAAACTTTGTAGTTATGGTATGCTCGATGCCCCGCAGTGACTATTGCTAAATGTGTGTGCATGCATTTGCGAAAGGTACTCGCGCTAATAGTACTGTGATAAAAACTTCCTAAAATTACTAACAACAGGTGTACATGATTTCAATAACGAATAAACTATTTAATACAAACGTCAGACTAACCGGTGTCACTTGTTGAAAATAATATGAAAATACGCGCCAAAAACGGTTGAAATGGTTGATCGTTAAATTAAATTAATATTTACCCAGGACAATAGTGACACACGTAGTTATAAAAATGTCCCCATGGTCCCCCGGAACAATGCGCTAGACCACATCCGACTTTGTAGCTCGTTGCCCAAACCATTTGGGTGTAGTGTCCTACTGCTGTGAGGTTCACGTTTGGATCTCCATACGTGAAGTTTTCATTCTCCACGAACCAAGTCTTTATGGCGAAAAACCTTGAAATATATGAATGAGACTTTAGATATTAGTATTTTAATATTTTAAAGTAATCGTATCTTATGCTGAAACAAGACAGTATGCTGGTTCATAGCACACTGTAAGTGAAATTTCATAAGCAGAAGTGTCTGTTATGGGACTTCCTTGTGACTGAAGTGTCCATCCAAAGGTATTAAATAATGATGATCCAGCTTAATATAATAAATATTCGAAAGGATGCTGATTCCAATCAGAGTAAAACCTGAAATCGACAATTTGAAATGTTCCTTTACGTAAAAGTTGATAGAAAGTAGTAACTATAGTAATCGAAAAAAATACATATTACCTATAGAGTCTAATGTCATTTATTTTATATATGTATTTTTATTTTATTGCTTAATTGGGGGAACTCACGGCCCACTTGGTCTTAAGAGCCCATAGACATTAACAACGTAAATGTCGCCACTCACCTTGATACATGGGTCTTAGTCTCAGTTTTTACAGTTCAACGGCTGCCAAGGGTATAATAAGGGTGAGCCTTAAAACCGAAACGCCTTACTGCTTTATGGCAGAAACCTGCAGGCTGGTAGTACCTACCTGGGCAGGCTCGGAAGATACTCTACCATTAGTAGGTACGCAAATTATATTTTTTGGTAATTTGATTTTATTACACTATGTTATTCCTTCACGCGAAAGTCATTCGTGAACATTTGTTAAGTACGTATTTAATAAGTAAAATTGGTACCTGCCTGCGGAGCTCGAACACTTTTTTTCCTACCTAAGCTTGAGAGGCTATTTCAGCGTAACCTTAACTAGTAGGTGACCTCACGGGGCTTAAGCCGGAGTGATGCTAACATTGACCCTAGCAAGAGCAGTGCTTCGCAGAATCTACCACCGGATCGGAAACGCGACCCACTGAGAAGATCCGGCGAGAAACTCAGTGGGCTGTGTCTATGGGTTAATTCGCTCGTTGAGCCCTTCGTCGTAAGCGACGGATTCGACGAGGACGATGACCGGTGCTTGTGGTACCTAAAAGCACCGTTAATGGATCGGGAGGATCCGTAATGATGTATTTTGGGTGACGTCGACTGTTTACCATTCGGTCTACAGGATCCGGTATGTAGTTTCCAGCGACCACAACAAGAGGGTTCTCATGTCGTGCCACCTTTTCAAAGTGGCGCAATGATGCCAACTGTAGATACTTACCTACTGACTGACACACTCGCATCGTTATATACGAATGCACCGGGCATCTTATCCTTTAGGCCACTACGACTTCAAATTTAATAAATTATTCTTACCATAGAATTCGAACGAATTAATATACATAAATACAAAATACAAATAAATATAAATGTACGTTGGCGGTTCCTTACAAGTTATCAATTTTTTTTTACAACAACGCTATATTAAACGCTGTTGCGGACACTTAACAAACAGGGGTAATATAGATATAGTATGTAAAAGTAGAAAGACAATGTAGAACTAGGTAGAGTGAGAGAGTAGAAACTCTAGCGTTCAGAGCTGACACCGTAAATCTAACTACGAGTATTTCTGGCGCAAAGCAATCATATTTTCTACTTTGACGAATAGGATAACAGCTATTTGTATGTAACGGGTGTTTTTTTAATTGGGTTGTATGGCAGGCGAGCTCTTAGTCTATTTATAATAAAATATTTATAATAAAGTATTATTTTATAGCTTCGTTAGCTAATCGAGGACGCCTGAAACCCCAGGGGTATACGACCAAGTTACTGCCTACAGTGATCATCGGAGCCATTGATAATACCTCTACCCCCTTTGAAATTAACGCCTCAATGTTACTGGTATTCCCTACGCTTCATACGGATGGTCGCTGTCTGTAATATACTCTTTGCGTAATAACAATATAATTACACGAATAAAAAGCTGTTCAAAAATAGCTTGTCAATTTTTTGCAGTAAACGGGAAATAGTCATTACAGAAAATGTACAAATAAACAGTTTTGGTTGCGCATCCTAATCGTTGCTCACATAGTTTACAATTTTGTTTCTTTTTACTTCTGTTTTTTATGTATCTTTTTAGCTTGTGATGTGTATTGTGAGCCTAATAAATAAATAAATCTCAACGAAAATTCGATATTCAACACTATTATAGATTCGAAGTTCGATGACATAAAATTTTACTGCCTAATAGCTCACAAAAACTTTGAGAACAATTAAATTGAAACGAGCAAGGTTTTTAAAAAAATAATAATATTTAAGTATTTTTATCTTGCTATTTCGTGATTCAGACGTAAAAGGGCAAGATTACACCTATTACGTGTAATCACGAAACATATCTACTTACGACGGAACAGACGTAAGTCCTAGTTAAGTTCTTGTATTTATATGTCTATATATGGAATTACTTCGTGATTTTGTACAAAAGTCGGTCGAGGAAGCTAAGTAACAAAAAGTGGAGAAACATCGTTATAATTTATCATCTTCGAAACGTCCCACTCACGAGCGTGAGTAGCTGAAACCTTGACACTTGTGGAAGGTCAGAGCCAAATATTAATTTCTATATTTGTCTTGGTGGAACTGGTGGATTTTTTTTTAATCAAATATCCGGTCTCTTTTTTCTGTTTTCTCAATTATATTTTTTTATTTTAGTATTTACGTTCAGATACACGAGCTTCTAACTTGCACATGATGGTAATTGGTTACCGAAGTCCATGTTTGCCTCCAGTTCAGCCTACTACAGTTTATTTGATTTTGATACTACTTAGGACGTAAATAACTTTTTTTTTTTTTTTTCATAACAACTAAGAGGCAAACGAGCAAGTCGGGTCACCTGATGGTAAGTGATTCACCGCCGCCCACGGTCACCAGCGTTTACGCCAGTGCGTTGCCTACCCTTCAGATAAGAATATGCTCTTTTCTTGAATAACCCAATGTCGCAGTTGTTGGGGAAGACCGCTGATGGCAACGAATTCCAGAGATTTACTGTGCGTGGCAGAAAACTGTTTTTAAAACGCATTGTAGTGGAACGCCAACCATCCAGATGGTGCGGATGATAGTTCCGGCGAGACGATCGGTTGCGAAAATCAGCGGCTTCTATTAAATTGAACAACTCCTCGGAACACTCCCCATTGTAAATTCTGTAAAGTATGCATAGGGAAGATAGATCCCTACGCAGTGCCAAAGGATCTAGCCGATCGGCAAGTACAGGATCGTCGACAATCCGAGATGCCCTACGTTGGATTCGGTCAAAGGGAGATAGCTGATAACCCGGAGCCCCGGCCCAAAGGTGGCAGCAATACTCCATGTGAGGCCGCACCTGCGCCTTATACAGCTTAAGGCGGTGAGGCGGCTTGAAGTACTGTTTGGCCCTGTTGAGTACTCCGAGTTTTTTGGAGGCCATTTTAGCCTTGCTCTCCAAATGACCGCCAAACTGGACAACACTCGAAATGTCTACGCCCAGAATGCCCATGTTCGACTTGGCACAAAGGTGAGTGTTTCCGAAGAGTGGCGATGCGACAAAGGGGGCTTTTTTAGCGGTGAACGCGCAAACTTGAGTCTTAGAAGGGTTAAACTGGACTAGATTTAGTCCCCCCCAATCGGAAATCTTCACAAGGGATGATTCGATTTCAGACACAAGTTTGTTCCGACACTCATCGACGTGATCCCGAGAGATATTGCTGCGGCCGAAATACAGTGCATCCACGGTACTGTCATCCGCATAGCAATGAATGCCACTGGTATGCAACAAATCATTGATATGCAGAATGAACAATGTCGGGGATAACACGCAGCCTTGGGGAACACCAGCATTTACGGTCCGGGGGTCCGAGCATGAGCCGTCTACGACGACTTTAACTCTCCGTTCCGCAAGGAAACTGCCGATCCACCTACAAAGTCTCTCAGGAAGGCCATAGGAAGGAAGCTTCGATAGTAAGGCTTTATGCCAAACCCGATCGAAGGCTTTCGCTATGTCCAAACTAACGCCTAGTGCCTCACCCCTACTCTCAACCGCCTGCGCCCAACGGTGAGTTAGTAAAGCCAAAAGATCACCAGTTGATCGGCCTTTGCGGAAACCATATTGGCGGTCGCTGATCAGCTGGTGCTCTTCCAGGTAGCCCATGAGCTGGTGGTTGATTATGGATTTCATAATTTTGGAGAGTAAGGAGGTGATAGCGATAGGCCTGTAGTTGGACGGATCTGAGCGGTCGCCTTTTTTAGGGATCGGGTGTACTAGAGCCGTCTTCCATGAATGTGGGACAACGCCGAGGACATAAGAGTGTCTAAATAAGCGCGTTAAAACCGGTGCCAGCTCTGGAGCACACACCTTCAGCACAATAGGAGATATTCCATCGGGCCCACTCGACTTGTTGACATCCAGGGAGAATAGTGCTTTCCGCACAGCACACTGTGTGAAGCGGACGTCCGCCATTGTGGTTTCACACCTCGGGATGGTAGGAGGAGTGTTCCCCCTGTCGTCAAGAGTCNAATAGGAGATATTCCATCGGGCCCACTCGACTTGTTGACATCCAGGGAGAATAGTGCTTTCCGCACAGCACACTGTGTGAAGCGGACGTCCGCCATTGTGGTTTCACACCTCGGGATGGTAGGAGGAGTGTTCCCCCTGTCGTCAAGAGTCGAGTTTTCCGCAAAGATAGAGCCAAGAAGATCGGCTTTCTCCCTTGCGGAATAGGCTAATGAACCATCTTCCCCGCGCAAAGGTGGAAGCGTCGACCGACAGAAATTACCCTGGACAGCCTTGGCGAGAGACCAGAATGCACGAGAGCCAGATGGCAGGCGTGCCAGTCTCTCGCCAATTCTCCCAACGTAATTTGATTTTGCCAATGCAATTTGCCTCTTAAAGAATCTGGAAGCAGAGTTATACTTCTTCTTGAGTGAGTCAGAGTTTATATCCTTAGCGGCCTTTGCCCTAGCCCAAGCCTGGTAGCATTCCCGCTTGCGACGATGTGCGTCACGGCAGGACCCACCAAACCAGGGCCGAGACCTGCCACCGATGGGCACCGCTGAGCTAGGAACAAACTATTCCATGCCCTGCAGCACGACGCCGGCAACCGAGTCAGCGCAGGTGCTAGGATCCTCTGACTTGAAGCAAATCTGCCCCCATGGGTAGGATGCAAAGAAAGAGCGCATCCCGTCCCAGTCTGCTGACCTGTAGTGCCAAACACGTCGTCTACCAGGTGGAAGTGGTTTGCGACGAGACGGTGAGAGGCACCACGCTCCGAACTAGGCAATGGTCCGATGACCCGAGAGGAGCATCGACCCACATCCGAATGGGTTCGGGGCGAGAGGTCAGCAGAAGGTCCAATAAGGAAGGCGAATGGTCTTCCACATCCGGCACACGTGAAATGCACGTGTATAGCAAGTTTTGATTACGTAACGAAGATTCTCAATTACCATTCATGTATATTAATTAGTTGACTATGAATCCGAAGATACAAGCGATCTAGCTACTTTTATGCTACCCTAATCCTTAACCTTCTTGTCCTTCGACCGTATAAGCATTATTTTCGTATCTAACACCCTATTTCATAACTTTCTGTTCCTATCAAAGATTTTGGTAGTAAGGCATATTACAAGGCCGCAGTCTATTGCACTGATGGGTATACGTGAAGCTGATGTTTCAATTGTTTTCTATAATGGCTACGTTGCTGGTGTACTTATGCAATAGAGTTATTTATTCAGTTTTATGTCTCATGGTAAGCTACAGTGCTAGAATTTCCGCGCAATACTAGGTGGATCGTATCTTTATTTTGACGATATATAAGAAAAAAATTACATAAAAGAAATCGTCTAGTTTTTATAATAGAGATACATCTGAAAGTATACCATGGTGTCTTCTGTGCCGCTACGAATAAATTTTGTCCACAGGTTCCCAGAGAAGGTACGGTGTTCTCTTTAATATCATTATGTTTCAAATACACGCATTGCTCTGCGTAGCGCTGTGCTTGACGAGCTGCCTTGGGATGCCACGACTGGAAGAAAAAATAACCGACTTTTAAGGCAACAATCGTATATTATACGGTCGCGTCTATCCGAAATGTTCATACAATTGAGCCCAAAAACGGTCGGAATCTTTGCTAGAATTAATGCCTCGTATAATATATTATTTATGTGTTTTAACAAAATCAAAACATAGTGTTGTTACATACTGTTTGGAGAATCGTGAATCAGCATTAACGAAAGGCAATTAACAAGTAAGAATTACACCGCATAATCATCTGCATGAAACTTCTCCAGAAAATAATACTAATTTTTTACTGAAGAGCGAGAGCTATCCCGCCCTTCAGTCTCTAGTTATTACAATACAATTAAGACGTCGGCCTCTCTTAAGCTGGCTGACATTCGAGTCCAAGTATCTGGGCCGATTAACCTTTAAGCATCAAGTAAGCTAGTTCATCTGCTCATTTTGGCTGATCAAATAATGGCAAACACCTTTTTACTCCCGGTTATTGTAAAATCACTAATTGACTACGTCTGTTGCGGTTGAACGAAATATATGTATGTAGTATGTTAAAATGTACTTATTTTATTGATTTCTTCTATTGGACATATAGAATACTTTTAAGAGTTCGTTGTACGGTCGTCGTTGTCGTGTTTCCAATTCGATACTTAATCATGTTTACGACTAGAGAAGGCCTTATAAGATCGACGTTCATTTTGTTTTAGAATTTTCCCAATTTTCACAAATCTGATAAATTAAATTCATTCTACCTGGTGTCCCACGACACCAGGTAGGAACGAAGTTCCTTCGGCTAATGTAGAATCGACACAATTTGCAAAAAGAAAAAAAAATCGTGTTCAATTTTATGTAGGTTTTCTTGATTTTTCTCTTAAATTTTGCTGATTAATTTTTATTTAAGTACAGGAAAGTATTTAGGAAATTCAGAATTTTAGGAAATAATAAATTACGTAAAATAAAAAAAAATCGTAATTCAAATTATTAATTAAAATAACAAAATGTGTCTCTTTATTTTTGTTTGACAACATAAAATTACATAGAAATAGAAATAATTACAAAATAGAGAGAAGGGATGAGAGAAAGAAAAGAAAGAAGGAGAAAGAGAAAGGTATTATACACTACTCGCTTGTGTATACGACTGTCGCGCCTGCGCAGAGCGCACGTCTCATTTGACGGTTTTATTCCACGGACTTTTTCTTACGGTTTTACTATCACATTTTTTTTAGTTCGGTCGCGCAGCAACATCCCTATCTCCTCCAAGCCTGCCGTAAGGAACTTCGTTCCAAAAAGCTTATACATATATATGTATTACAGTTTACTCACCACGAGGAGCATATTCGACGCAATTGGTCGAACTTTGGAACGGAAAAAATTATGATAAAGTACTATTTTTCTCCGAACAATTTCCCTTTTAGGGTTCAGCGAATCTTCTCCGATGAGATGAGGTGGAAATAATTCTGAAAATTGTATTTAATAACATACATTTTATAAATTAAGTGAAACTATTTTGCTAGCAATGAGTAGGTGTAGTTTTTTTCTACAATAAGTATGTTTTCATCTGTGAAACGAGCTACTTGACCCGAATGCATATCCCATATGTTTTATATAGCTTTCATGAATGAAAGGCGTAACGTGTATCTTTTTGAGTAAAATAATCAAAACTATGTTATCTAAATGTGCGAGTTCATGAAATATTTACTACAATTTTATTACACAAACTGATTGTTTTACAGGCTACATTACTAGCGCATAACTAACTACAAATAGGCGTCATATCTAATAAATTATGGACAATAACTGAATTTAGTATCTATTTGAAAATGCGTAGGTACTTACGTTTATCCTTATCCAAAACTTTCTCAGTATGCAAATGTCCACTCAAATCTAGAATCAGTATAAATTGTAACCATACTACACATCGGAGAAGCATTCTGAAAGAGAAGTTGTTAAAATTAAATTATACAGCGTATAATGCATCGTATTAAATTTTTACAATATACTCGTTACGTACCTAACTGGACCTAATTTAGGTTTCAGAACTCGAAATAATGTGGGAATTCTTAAATATCGTTGTATTCCCAACCCCATTTCTTCATATGACAGTGTTTTTAGTTTTATAAAATAAGATTTAGATTATATTACTATACCATTACTAATACTATACTGGATAATATTTATATTAGATTACATTAAATCAGCAGAAGACCTGGTCCGTTTCATATTAACTCAACTATAGGTATAATTCAAGATTCACTATAAATATTATCTATAAAAATTAGTGATTGTTGTTGTTACAAACCAAAGGTTTTAAATTAAATGTTCCGATTCGAAGGGATATCTTTATCTAGGAGGATATTCTATAGGTAAGATAAAATTAAGTTTTAGGCCGAAATCTCAAGGTGGGGTATACTGGCATTGCGGTCGGCATAAGTTTCAGAGATCGATTCAGAGGGAAAAGCTACGGAAGACAACGAAAAAAAAACTGTGTATTTAGATACCGATCCACGAACAATAATTCAAACAATTTGAAAATGAAACGATAATTAAAATATCAATGAAAATCAGGAATCAACGACCATGAGGAATCAAAATGCGGAATAGCGTTGTTGACAACAGACAATGTACCAGTAATGATGTTCATTGCCATAATACCGTGCGCCTTTAATAAGCAATTGATGGTTAATTGAAAGTCACTGAACTACAAACCGTTATGAATTATTACAGTTTTATTCTATGTCGCATTTTTTAATCAAATACTATCTCAGTTTAAGATGAATAAAAGTTTACTAATTTTTCCAAAAACTACCTATTCTTTTTCGAGTCTGATTATATTTTTTATCACACTTACCTTTTTTAAATAACACTTAAAACTAATGATTTTTTTGTTTTAAATTATTTTACATATTACATTTCTTTGTAATTTTTATTCTAATACAAAGAAACATCACTGTTTCAAAATCGTATAAATAATCTATATTATTGTACCATAAAGTAATATAATTTATGATCAATACAAGAATAATAATATAGACCTCAACCGTTTGAGATACAACTAACTTTAATATATTAAAACATACTTACATCACGAATTCAAACGAACAAAATAAAGTTTGTATAACGTTGCACTTAATTATATGTATAAAAACAGAAGAGAATAATGTTTGTTCTCGAATACACGAAAAACAATTTATTTTATTACTAAATAATGAATAAATAAATGCATATATCTTATTTATTCAAGAAAACTGCTGTTAAATAGATACCGTGTCCAACGAATGTATGAACAGAAATAAACAAACAATCCATCTCGCTACATCGAGAATCGTATCGCAACCGCTTCTGTAACAGTGACTAGAGAATTATCCTTGATGCCTGTGAAAAAAACTAGCAAGCCGTAGTACACGATTTCTTAAAATATTTACTATGGTTCTGTCTGAATTAATATATATATTAAGTATTATTTACTCGGCGGTCATTCATACAATAATAATTACATTGGAACTGAATTTTTCTTAATTTTATTTTATTGAATTTTACAAGCTTCGCAAAGTAGCAGTCACCAAAAAAAACCTGACTTAAAAATATGGTGTATATATATAAATTGAGAAGAAGTGTTTTGTTGTGCCATCGATTTTTTTCTAAAGTAGAGTTATCATACGTTTTAATGTGATCTAGAATACAATTGAAACTATGACCTCATGTCACAAGGTGCGTAATTATATTCACGTTGTCTCTGTTGCTTGGCTCTGTCCTTGGCATTGCGGAGTCCATGAGCGACGGTAACCACTCACCAACAGGTGGACAGTATAGTCGTCTGACTATACTGTCGACTACTTAAAACCAGATGGGCCGTGACCTCCCAAACTCCATCTAGGAGATGAAGTTTCGGCGACCACCGGATCTTCAATCGTCGAAACCTACGAATAAAACATAAGTTTATTCGTAGGTCGAAACTAATATTTCTTACGGCATTTCAAAGTAACTGTGACCTTTTAATTATTCTTGATAGTAATTACGTACGTACTGTACAATGGATCTAGTAATTATTTTTAATTAATCTTGGATTCCAACATTTCATATTGCTACTTCCCTGATTTTAAAATACAAATTTGGCCGCTTAGGAAATTGTACGAACGCATGATTAATAGCAAGTGCAAGAAATATTGAATTATTCCGTTAGGTTGGTTAGGTTATTTTTTTGTAATTGTATGTTGTTTTTTTTTAAATAATAGTACATTGTGCATCAAGGGAAAAAAGTTGGACATTTCCTCCCGCGTGTAAAATTGCAAACACGCGGGATGAGATGTCCTACTTTTTACCCGCGGTGCACATACTATTTTTTCTCCTACCAGGCCAAAGTTCGATATTGTAAAAAACTCTGCGAAGCTCTGTAAGATGCCTTGGTGGAGGATGGGGGGGGGGCGGAGCCCCCACTCATAAAAGAAACAATTTAACTGTTTTTTAATTTTTAAATAAACTACTACTAATTGAATAATAACTGTCTGATGAATTCATCTTTGTTTAATACTTCACTATTAAATTGCATTGCCTTTTGTTTATTTCACTTTAACACTAAACACAATATTGCAATTTACCCGAGCACAAAAATGGCGGAGAATTTTAGGTGCGTGAGAGCAGACCTAGACACTAACGCGCATGCGCACTTGTCAGTACCCAGGGACAAAAAGTTAGACTTTCTTCCCTGTACAGCGGGACGAAAACCGAACTTTCGGCGTCGGTAGGAGAAATAAATAAGTAATTTATATGTAGTGATCTGATTGCATTTTTACTCGACTACCGAAGAAGGTGGCTAAAGGTTTTAAAGGTAATGTACGTAAAAAATAAAAAAATATGTACGCGTGTAATTTAAAAGTCGGTTTTTAGTTAGTATTTAAAAGCAGTTGGTTTTGTTTCTTTTCAAAAAATTTGAAAGATTCGTTACCACGGGTGCTGCTTATTTTGCTACGATGTATTCATTCGGTAAATTTTTAAAAGTTGAAAACCTATGACTGTATATAATATATCTTATATGTATATATATCTCAGATGGTCATGCGAGTCTTTACAGCCACAACGCGCTTTTTTTGATCGAAAACAAAACTTGACTCGTCACGTTCTCTACGCAGTGTACATTTTGAACCTTGCATTTGTTAACGTCTGCTAAAAGATTTGATAGAATTTATCAATTTTAGTATTATTAATGCGTTTTATTTATTATACATGTTTTATTATTAAAGTCGTCATGGCCTAAACTATAAGATGCCTGGTGTATTCGTATCGATGCGACTGTGCCGGTGTTTGAAACCCGGCGGTAAATTCCATTTTTTAATGAAATACGGCCATTAGAAATGTTCACGGATGACTTCCACGGTGATGGAACAACATTATGTAATAAAAATGAAACCCGCAAAAATTATAATTTCTTTAATCACTTGTGGTAGGACGTCGTGCGCGCCCGCACGCATAATTAGTACGAACACTCTGTCTATTTTTGTCGCAAAGCATAAATGCGTTTTGGTCATACTGAGACTTAGAATTAATATCTCAATGTGAGCGTTGGTATTTACGTTGTTGATGTCTATGGGCTCCGATAACCACTTAACAACGGGTGGGCCGTATATAAATACAAATAAAATATGCGATTGCTATATGATACCTAAATAATTTATTTGTAACATATTTATAGGTAAATTTTTAAGTGTGTATCTGGTACCGTTAGTAAAAGGAATCCTAGAGTTTTGTGTAAAATGAGTATGAGTTATTTGTTTCGGATTTTAGTTTAAATTCTATTTTGAAAATGAATTATATTGATGAACAAAATTACTCAAGTTGGCTATTTACAAGATATTGACTTAATGCCCGTTGTATTACTTGTTATGTAACATGACTTTATTATTATTTTTAAATTACAACATTACATTCATATAACGGTCACATTAAACACATGTGTCAACAAATAATTTAGTGCCCTTAAGTCACCTTCTCTTACACTTACCTGGTTTTAGCGGAGAATTTCACAAAAGTTTAACATTCTTGTAATTGAAAGGTATACTGCATAATTTATATTAACTAGTATTCGCCCAATGATCTAAAATCGACATCAACAGTGACAACACAAGGTCCAGATTTATTTTGTGCATTTCATTCCTTCTTCTGTTTTATTAACGGCCGTCTGGTGTAGTGGTAAGTGACATGGTCACTACACAAGGGGGTCGCGGGTTCGAATCCCGCCAAGTAAAGATATTTGTATGATAAATATAAATGTCTTTTCCAGGGTTATGGATGTATATTAAATATATGTATGTGTATAATAAAAATCTTACATTTATTTCCGTTATCTGGTACCTGTAACACTAGTTCTTTACGAACTTATCACGGGACCAGATAACGTGGCGTGATTGTTTATATAAAAAAAAAAAAAAACTGAAACTTTAAAAAAAACTACCCTGTACCTAAAATTGCATTGAAAATAAACACCCGAGGTCATCAATAGCCAGCTTAAAAAATGCTGTAAATGGCACCGAACTGTTTTGTTCTTCCCTGTTTATAATACATATATGTAAATAATTTATAGATTTCTAGCGGGAAAAACTGTAATCTGATCTCACCCACTTCCCATCTCACTGTCCAAACTTAAATCTTCCAAGGTCAAATTAAAAATTCAGTAAAAATCATCCTAAATGCAAAAATTTAATTAAATTAAATTAGCAAAAATTTGGCAGACAGGTTTCTTAGCGGGGTTGTTGACAGCAAATAAATATGCGACTACCCATCTTGAGATATTAGGCCGAAGTCTCAACTGCGTTATAACCCTTTGAGGACCATTCAGGGCAGTATGTTATGTTATAGGGCGTATTTATGAGCCTGCACTAATAGATGCGACGATTCTATTTGTTTATTTGAAGCAGTAATGCGCCGCGGTGCGAGAAGTGGGATAGGACAGTGGTTATACAGTAAAGTTAAGGTTGCTTCCAACTGGCTAACGGCATGTGCAGTATGTTTAAAGTGGTTGTTAACCGATTACCAGTTAACAGGTGTCGTCGTGGCCTAAGGTATTGAATTGTCGTGACCTATAAATCGCCCAGTATACTCGCATCAAAGGATACTACTATACCAATTACCATTGACTTAATTACATGTCGTAAGCCCGCAGGAGTAAGTACCGCCATCCTGCCTATTTTTGTGAAGTCACGCGTTCCGGCGTAGGGGGTGATATAGCCATTATACAAATTATTAAGATTTCAGTCTTATGTCTAGAGGTAGATGATCGCATTTACGTTGTAATGTCTATAGGCTCTGGTGGGTACTTAGCTCGAGGTAGGTTGTTATGTATAGCTATTGACAATCAAAAAGTTAGGTTATGTACGTCGTCTGTGCATGTACACGAACGGACGCATTCAATTATTATTAGAACTAGCGACCCACCCTTGCTTCGCTTTGGAAACATTTAATTTTATTCTTGATAGTTGAGTCCCGCGCTTCACCCCCGGTCATTGTCATACCGCGGGTGAAGCCGCAAGGCGAAGCTAGTTTAAATAATAGTTAAAAAAAACAAACAAAATACGCTTTTATAGAAAATCCAACTAAAAAATAGAAAATAAATTTTAATAAATTTGAATTAAAAATAGTGTGAGAAAAAATTATTTTATTGTAAAAAAGCGCGGGGTATAGTATATATATTCATATGCATGTAGTAAAAAGCGGTTATTTCAATATTACAAACAGACACTCCGATTTTATTTATATGTATAGATGAACAATTACCAATTGATGAAATCTTCAATGACACAATCAAGCATTACAACAATAATAGGACAAGATACCATAATCTTTTATGGTTCTGGCCTTGATAAAATAATTTCAAATTCCATATCATATAAAATGGTGTAAGTACCTAATTCTATTTCTGAATTGAGTGAAGGTTACATGCACAGCCAGCGTTAAATGGTTACCATAACCCATTGAGATCACGATGTGATTTCCGCCACTTACATCGATTTATGAGGTCGAATTTTCAATTGCATTCTATTATTTGGTCATGATAGTCATATGTATGATTTTTCGTCTTTTTTCCCTGGAGCGGCTACTTAACTATTCATGTAAAAATTAAACTCATATTTATTATGAGTTGACGATGCTCGGGATCACCAATTCAAACCTTTTTTTTTTTATCCTACCTATGCTGATAGCCTTAAGAGGCTATATGAGCGTTACCCTAGCATGTAGGTGAGCTCTCAGGGTTCAAACCGGATGTGTTGCTAACACTGACCCTAGCAAGAGCAGTGCTTCGCAGAATCTATCACCGGATCGGAAACGCAGCCCACTGAGAAGATCAGGCGAGAAACTCAGTGGACTATTTCACACTTGGAACTTTACATTACATAAAAGTATTATTAATTTTTATAAAATTATAATGTTCTACTGTGGGGAATTTTTTATTTGATGTGGTTTCGCCGTGACGACAAACGGTCTTGCTGTTACACATCTTTTTTTTCGAGCATTTCAGATTCAGAGACATTTTCATGATTTTACATTTAGCAACGTATGTGGTAGAATTACGTACTTCAGAAGAGAATATTTTAATAAGAGTTATCAGGTGGCAGTACCGAATGCACATTTTTAAGCTAAGCAAACACGCGCTCCATCAAACCTGAAGAGAGATACCTTGTGTATTTTTCATATCGTATTTTCTATGGAGAGTGCTCTGATAAATTGTTCAAACACCCTCGGAGGAAAGCTCGTTGTGACCGCTTGAAACCATTATGTCCATCAAATACGTGCTTCTAAAGAGCATTATTGACAATTAGGTAATGCTGTAGGCTGTAGGTACTCAGGAATAAAATCCCTTCCACAATCTTTTCTGAACACTATGGTCGGAGTCAAACGAGGATTGAAGAGTCGTGAGCTGTAGGCAAAAGCTTAACTGCGCTTCTGGCGCTGATGTTGATAAGCGACGATGACCAGTCACCATCAGATTGACTTCATATCGTTTGCCATCGAAGGGACCAAAAAATAAAGAAACGTCACTTCGATGTATGTAATCGAGGTTTCTATCTTGCATTTCAAAATCATTTATCGATAATCAAAAATCATACAACAGAACACAAAAAGTAGTAAGCATATTATATATAATATTTAATTCAGAAATTAACAAAATCAAACTCTCTATCCAATTTCAGGGTTAAGACTAGCATATCTTCAGCAGTATCCCAGTTGGCCTTAGATAGATCTGGATCGACGCCATGTGGTAATGGTAAATTCAAGGTGTATTGTGAAGAATTTACAGTTACGGTTGTTCGATCTACGTTTAAATCAACATTCTCTTTTTTATCTCCTGGCATTTTTATTCTTATCACAATATTTTCACAACTAGCCGAAGACGGAGTTTTAGGACCAATCTGTAAAAGTGTTTTTTTTTTCTTAATTAATAATGCATTATTTTTATTTTACTAAACTATATACATTAATAGCTTTGCAGAAAATTACGATAGTTTGAATAATAATAAGGCGATCATGGCCCAGGGTAATCATATGTATCGCTCATACGAGTGAACCCAGACTGGAATCCTGTCATTGTTTTTGAAGATATTATTATTATATATAGTAATATATATTATTCGTCGTAACGTGAAATGCGTATATTCACCAGTGACCATAGTTGGCAGCTTCGAAATTGTTGTTCTTCGAAAATTGTTTAGTTATATAATATTTTAGTATACATCATTGATATCGTTATGAAATGTATGTACGTGCTTTTTTACAAATTAATTGTTATAAGAATCAGGAAAGCGTTCATTAGAGTGCTAAATTTTGAAAATTACCCACTTTTCACGCTATTTTCGGACGAAAAGCAAACACTTTTTTAAGCAATATTAACGCAAAATATACAGTCAAGTTATACCTCTTACGTGTTTGCACAAGAAAAAAAAATTATTTAAATTTCTAAATTTATTTAACAATAATAACAACATTTTTTAATAGTGTGGAACGAACATCTACTTACCTGAAGAAATACATCTTCCGCCGAAACAGATTGCTGATAGTTCATTGTGTACTGTGGAGTTTTACGATCATCGAGGCCAGCTCCGATACGACATAAATCTTCAGCAGCCCTGTCCTCCAGCTCTTCATATTCCTCAATCGTTTTAGGATCTTTAGGATCTCTTTCTGTAGCCGGTATTTTACCTCTTACCGATGTTATTTCATATTCTAAAATTCATGAAAATCTATCAGTATCATTCTGATGGGCATTGCTTTTAACATTTCTTTTTAACATCAGTAGCGTAGCGGACAGATTTATTTCAAGAAAGCTTTAGCAAACTTTATACCTAACTCTGCTGAGGCAGCTCCCATAATGTATGATGTTAATTAGGGCTGTAATAAATGAAGAACTAACTAGCTACATATTAAATACTAACACACAGCAATCAGTTACAAAATTTTTAGAATAGTAAATTTAGTTGTGTGATTAAAATTACGAACGGTCTCGAAACATTTTTTTCATTAGGTACCTACTTAATGCATATTTATGTACATACGAGGAGAACAAACCACCAATAATTTGTGTTTTCACTTTGCTGCAAACTTGAAAATAATAAGACCTCTGGTCAAAAAATAATGCCTAAATATTGATAACTAATCACGATGTCATCACATGTCTTTAGAATTGGAAAAAACGGACTCGTTAGGGTTCGCCCTTGTTCAAATTTTACAAATAATGCTCAACCAAATTCTTTTGGATTGAATGATAATAGTTACCGGTTGGTGTGAAATCTTCACCCTGAAAAACATCTGGTTCTGGAGGTCTAAATAATTCAGCCAACTTCTCCATGGTGGATGGTGAGAATTCCATATTGAACCTTCAAATGTGTTTTAATTTTAAGAACTAAATCCAAAACAGTAATGAAATGGTATGAACGATGAAAATGATAATGAAATCCAAGTTCCTGATCAAAAACCAAACCAAAGAATGTAATATTGAAATCGATATACAATAAATGAAGCTGTAACAACAATAACGCAGTTGCTTAGCAACGGAATAACTTATATAGAATATGTGAAGTGACTCAGGTCTAATGAGAAAGACGTGTTGTTTGAGTGAGTGTTTTGTCTGTGGTTGTAATTTCTTTTTGTGTATTTCAAGCTATCAGGGTTCAAATTTGGCAGGCAGATATTTTGACGTGCGTCTATCGCAAAGAAGGAATAATTTTGTTTAAAAAAATGAAGCCCGTCAAATTTATAAATCTTCACAATTACTGAGCCGTACGGCTCCCACCATCTTGCAAATTTCTTATGCGAAATTGCTATACACTAACATAAATAAATAAATAAATAATTTGACCGCATTCGGTATACATAAGCCGGGCAAACTGAAAAATGAAACCGCTAGTAACCGTCCGATTAGTCTCCTCCCAGCGATAGGCATAATATACGAACGACTCCTTCGGAAACACCTGTGGGGCTTCATTACCGAAAAGAAAATATTAATGGTCGAGCAGGTTGGGTTCCGCGCCAAATACTCGTGCATATAACAAGTACACCGCCTGACGGAGCACATCTTAATAGGGCTAAATAGGCGGAAACCAGTCCCGACCGGAGCTCTCTTCTTCGATATCGCAAAGGCGTTCGGTAAAGTCTGGCATAACGGTTTCATTTACAAACTGTATAACATGGGAATGCCAGACAGATTCGTGCTCATCATACAAGACTTGTCGAACCGTTCGTTTCAATATCGAGTAGAGGGAACTCGCTCCGCTCCTGTCATCTGACGGCCGGAGTTCCACAAGGCTCCGCGCTCTCCCCGTTATTATTTAGTTTGTATATCAATGATATAGCCCGGTCTCCGGAGACCCATCTAGCGCTCTTCGCCGATGACACGGCTATCTACTACTCGTGTAGGAAGAAGTCGCTATTGCATCGGCCACTTCAGATCGCAGTAACCACCATGGGATAGTGGTTCTGGAAGTGGCGCATCGACATCAACCCCACGAAAAGCACAGCGATGCTCTTCAAAAGGGGCGCCCTCCGAATACCAATTCGAGCAGCCCACTCCCTAATAGGCGCGTTAGCACCTCCGCCGTTAGCCCCATAGATTCTGCAAAGCACTGCTCTTGCTATTGCCAGTGTTGGCAACACTCCCGGTTAGAGCCCCGTGAGCTCACCTACACGTCAAGGAGAAGCTGAAATAGCCTCTCAATGCTATCAGCAGAGGTACAAAAAAAAAAAAAAAATGACCGCATTTAATTAGGTATCGTACACAAATAAAAATATATATATTCTAATTTGAACTCTCTACTACCTTCTCTCGAACGAGACCACGGGCCATCTATCAGAAATTGTTCGATATGATCCTCCGCCTCCTTTTCCACCACAGAGTAGAGTTCATCCATACCATATGGAACCGCTGCATTTATCGACAGTGCGTTTCTTTTTTTACCACGGAACATCCGACTATGGAATGAACTCTCCTCCACGGTGTTTCCCCAGCGTTATGACATTTCTTTCTTCAAACGAGTCTTTTTTTTTTAATTGCTTAGATGGTTAGACGAGCTCACCTGGTGTTAAGTGGTTACTGGACCCCATAGACATCTACGAAGTAAATGCGCCACCCACCTTGAGATATCAGTTTTAAGGTCTCAGTATAGTTACAACGGCCGCCCCGCCCTTCAAACCGAAACGCATTACTGCTTCACGGCAGAAATAGGCAGGGCGCTGGTACCTACCCGCGCGGACTCACAAGACGATTTGTAACAGTGCCAAGCTTCATTAGAAGTTAAAAAATGTATGTCATTTGAAAACTTTCAAGCTAATCTAAAAAATAGCCTTAGAGGAGTTTTAATGGACACAATAAAAAAATATTTAGCTTTAATTTTATTGACTCATTATTTTTACAATTCCAAACAGTGTTAATTGAAATCTAATACACAAAATGTTGTAATATAAAATTTTATAAGATAGTTCATGGGAAACCATCATCATCTTCCTCTGCCATTTCTTTGGCAAGTTCCAGATCTTGCTGTTCTCTTTCACGGCGTTCCTCAGCACTTTCCAATTCTTTTCCGTATGATTTTGGTGGATATCTCATTGCCTTAACACTTTGGTTGTGTAAATCTAGGCAAAATGAAATCCGCTGATGAAAGGCTAACTGTGGCTCTCTGGTACAATAAATATCTGAGCTTTCTTTATTACTCATGTAGCCCTTTACAGGGTCTAATGTTGCCTCAATCACTCCATCTCTGATTGCCTTAGCAACAATGAATTCTGCATCTTCAGCAGAGTCAAGCCCTAATTTGCGAGCTATATCTTTTGGTGATATGCGAGAATAGGACAATCCAATTGAACGAATAGCAGTCTTAATAACATTCTGTCTAAGACGAAGGATCAATGTAAATGTGTGATCATTTCGGAACTGTGGCCCATAATTCTCCAATACTTCACCAAATCTTTGCAAGTTTCCAAGACGCACAGCTTGTGTGAGCTGGAAATATGGAGCTAATGCTTTACGAAGTGGAGCTTGACGGAAAATCACTCGCTCCGGTATATCACCTAATAGCAATTCCACTACAATTGCTAATTTTTGGACCGTTTGACGGAATCCAACAGCAGCTGTTTGAGGAGCTTTTCTTAAAGCCTGCACTAGATGTTTGTGTGCATCACTGTATTCTAACCTTGCTGCTTTTATTCTGCCAAGGTAGTACAGAAATCTTGCCCACTCATTGTTGCTGGCATTTTCAGGAAAAACTGACTTACTTACTAATTTATCAGCTTGATCATACAAAGAGTAGTGCAAGTAATTTCTCAACAGGCAGTTGATAATAACAGCTTGACCTTCATAGTCATTTCTCAATGTTGATGTACGAAGTCGGGCATGTAAGAGACCTCTGATCACATCCAACTTGTTAGTTAGTTCAAACACTCTTGAGTGATAAAAATAGCATTTTGCAGCAATCAAGTCAAGGGTTCTTCGATTTTGAGTAGTAACTTTTGTCATTAGTTGCTGAGAGCATTCTGTGGCTTCTTCAAGTTTGTTTGTATCCAACAAACGTAACAGCACAAGGAGATGCAAATATGTATCCACTTCGGGCACTGGCTGCTTAGGGGCGCTTCGTGACCTGGGAGCTTCTATTTCTACGGCACCAGGGAGAGCATTTTCCACAAAAGATAGTATGGTTTCTTTCTCAGCACTAGTGGGATAAATCTGATTGATAATAGCTCGCAGAACGTTACCGTTTAACTTCCTGCGAGTGCTCGGCAGTGCTCTAAGTACACGCATAGCGAATCTAGGTTCTTTCGAAGTAACAGCTTTATCGATTTGTCTGATGTGTTCTCGTAGATCCTGAACAGCTAGTACATCAGCATCTTTCTTTACATCCGCTGTCTCAACGTCACTAACAGCTGCAGGACTTTCCACATTTTTCATTTCAACATCTTCCACTGGAGCCATTGTATATATAACTGATATTTTTCAAAACAATGTGAATATGAGAATGAACGAAATCAATCTACAAATTTTAGTAAAATGCAATCTGTCACAATAATCAAAAATGCCGAGTAACTTTGTCTTTTTTTTTTTTGAGGATATTGCCTGATATCTAGACCTTTAGGCCATGTCTTGAGTGAGTAAATTTGTCGTATTTTTTTTTTTTTTTTATTTATAATATTAGCCGGATACAAGTCCATTGGCCGTCTACATATTATAATACAATAATAAAGTTAATATTTACGAAATGTCATACAGTATACAAAATTATTAAATTCCCGGTTTTTTCTCAGGTTTTCATGTTATTTTTTCAGGTCAGATTTTTTCTACAGTCGCTGTAATAAATTTATATAAGCTCGGGAAAAGTCTTTCATTGCTCAAAAGTTCTNGTTTAAATATAAGCATTATTTTATTAGCATTAATGCGCCTGTTCTCTTTGATGCCCTTCACCGACTTAAAAATTTTTGATAAAAGTAAAGGATTTTTGTTACCAATTTTATCTTCTCTACTGATACCTTCGATGTAGACAGGAAACTCGTCATTAAGAGAGTTATCAGGATAACTACGACGGTACCCAGGTTTGAGAAACGGTTTATATCTGTAGTCCGAATCTGATTGTCCGTCGTCCCCTTGATATCTGCGTTTTTTTGCCTCGTTTCTTTTTCCCTCATCATCGCCGTCACTTTCTGACGACATTTTATAAACTTTTAATATTTACAACTATTAAATATAATTTTTTTGTAAAAAATTTTCAATTTGCCGCCTTCCTATTTCCCGCCAAAAAAGGAAGTCTGAAATTTGTCGTAATGTTGGTAATGTTGCCAGCTGGAATGTGAAATAATAAGGTCAGCAGAAACGGTTAAAAATATGCATCAATTGCTACTGTACAACCATCTGACCTCTTTTCTTTTCAATTTTTTTTTTTTTTATGATTTGTTTTTATTTACTGTAATAAATGGGATACAAAATGGTTTTCCTCATTGTGGATATGAGCTCGTCTGTTCTATTACATCGAACCGTTCAAGTATCTTTTTAGAGAACTAGAATAGAAACAATATTTTTTGGAATGTTACACATTTTAATAATTCTACAATTTATTTTTCTTCTACTTTACGCCCCGAAGAATAATTATGGTGCGACGAATAGTTCGTTACCAACATGGTAAACAGTCAACATCGCCCAAAACACGTCATTTCGGATCCTCCAGATCCGCTATCGGTGCTTTTATGTACCACATGTACCGGTCACCGTTCTCGTTGAACTCGCTGCTTGAACACGAAGGATTCGGCGAGTCAATTAACCAACAGTACAGCCCACTAAGTTTTTCGCTGGGTCTTCTTAGTGGGTCGCATTTCCAATCCGGTGGTAGAGTCTGCGTAGCTTGCTTTTGCTAGGGCTAGTGTTAGCAACGACACCAGGGTAGAGCCCTGTGAGTTCACCTACTCGTTCGGTGAATCTAGTATGACCCCTCGAGGTCACTAGAATATATCTATTTTGGCATTATTCTGGCAATATCTTATTGTGGCATTTTTTTAGTTGCTTACCAGCTACAAAAAGTGGCAACCGGTGGAGACTTAGTGTAAAAAAAATTAAAATGGATGCGCATGAGTTCGAGCTGAAAACCATTATTTAATAAATACAAAACACTGTGACAGTTGCAGTTGAACCACAATTGAATTGATTGTGTTTTAAATACTTATCAAATAGTAATAGATTAAATAGTAACAAAAACAGTGTGGAGTTAACATGCAAACATCCCTACCAGCTGAACAAGTTTTCGCCCCATTATTGAAAGTTTACGCTTACATAACCAATGCTTTTTCAATCATTGATAACACTCGATATTCAGTCAAATATAGTACAAGTATGAACCAAGTTCGGAGGTGTGTTAGTTAGTCTATTAAACACGTCTATAAGCGTATTAAGAATTATATATGTACCTATTAAATATGTTGATAGCTTTTTGTTAACTTTTGATTTATAAAATAGGGGAAATAGTAATTTTATACTTACATTTTGAAAGTACTCACACTTAATATTATTAAAAATTATTGAAATAGTTTATTATAAAATCTTATTATAAAATCTTATCCTCTTCAATGGAACATAATCATTATTATCGTATTGTATCATACAATCAGTTAATATGGTCCTCATTTGTACCGAATTGATGAACTATTATAAAAGTATATTTTTTTGAATATATTTGACCTATAACCATATTAACCATTATGTAAATAAAATATTATATTAAAAAACTATGTTGAATTATACTCAAAGTAATCTACAAAAAGTATTAAACCTTTTCATTTTCATAAATATAGTCGATAAATTTAGAACAAATCGATTTCAGGGTTTTTTCACATATCAATACTGATTATTTTTCAGCAACCAAAAAATAAGTGATTATTTTACATAAAATGCACCCTAAAGCTTAGAGGTTGACGTAGATATTTCAATAATGGAAACATCTGTTAAACGGCATGCTTTTGTCTTTGCCTTTTCTATTCCATAGATTAAAGACAAGACAAAACTACTAGCATTGCTCGTAGTTGCTTAACCAATACTCTACTTGGAAAATACTGATAAAATTATATTTTACTAATGTTACAGTTGAATATATTTGGATTACAACCATCACAATATTGTGGAGATTGCGTGTGCCAAAAATTATAGAAAAAGGACGCGCTACGGCTGCAGGAGACCGGTTGATTCTTCACATAAAATTTCAATGTGTTCTGGAAATGGTTTGCAAAGAGGACGTGGTATCATGGTTTAAAGAATTGGAAAGCTATAAACGCATAGATGCAATGTGTACACTGTTAAATATGTGTTTACCATTCGAATTGCGCTTCATCGGCACGTACCTAGAAGAGCTCGGTAAGCGGGATTTTCAGGAGTTGCGTGGTGCCGAACTGAGAGCTAACAATCCTACAGATCTGGCTGCGGACATAGGAGGAGCAAATGCAGACCCTAGAACACGACGAAAAATGGCTTTATATGTGTCGTTATTACGATCTTGTAATTTCGCGTGCGCTACAACTCTGTACAATGCCATGGTCAGTTTGGAACAAAGTGGCCTATTGAAGGGCTTATATGGAGATTTACTCGAAGAAATTTTATTGTTGTATACAATGGCACTACATCACCCAGCCTTCACATTTGATCAGAAATCACATTTTGGTGACATTTTGGAAAAATTAAAATTGGAAGATCAACGAATGCAATATCCAGAACAGCAAGAACACATAAATGTAGTGCCAGTGAGTGGTGGCCATACACAGTCCAATATCACCTCCAATATCACAGTTCCACCACCATCCTTATCAAACATGGCTCCACCACCAGGTTTGATGTTTGTCAAAACACCTGGGGTGCAGGTCAGTTTATTTTAATATTTATTTTACTTTATTGCAAAGCGAACTATACGATTATTATTGTATAGTTCACTTTGCAATGTTTTTTATATAAATAAAGTAATAACAAATATTCCACATTCAACCATGACAATTACTATCTATCTAAATGTTGAAGTACAGATGAAATTTTAGTAAGGTTAATTTTTTATTTATTTCCTTTTTAAATATTACTTTACTTTTAGCTTGGATATAATTTATAGGTAATAAAGAAATAATTAAGAAAAGAAAGTATTGTTCAGTGACAAAAATGAACTAAAAAAATAAATAGAAATACAATTAAAACACAAAAAAAAGAAAGGAAGGAAAAAGCTTAGTAGATTAATTGATCAGTAATATTTAAATATGTTCACACAGTAGTCAATATTAAGTCTTAATCACTGATGCCATTAGATTAACTTGATGTATTAATTTTTTATTAATTTTTCCCACATTTTATCCTTTATAAATGGAAATAATAATCTTTATTTTTAATAACACCAGTTCTTCAATTAATACAAAAAAAGGTTAACAAACAGAAGGGAAAATGGTATTAAACTGTTTTGTCTTTTCTTATTAGTATACCTATATGACCATAAAACTTAAAAAAATATATATAATTGCAGTAGTTCATAAAAAATGAGAATTTGTGATTTTCAAAGTCGCTGAAGTGAATCATCTTTCATCAAAAATCATTCATTATTAAAACTAACTTTTTATAATTAATTAAATGTATTTATTGTCAATATAATTGCTAGCTATGAATTTATTAAACAAGTATATATTAAGAAGTTGATAAACATGCTGATATAATATTATATGATTTGTTAAATTATTATAAAAAAATGGACATAATATTACAAAAGCACTACAAAATTACTTTTCAAGTAGACATTGGTTACATATATTAATTACAATTTTCATTATTTTTAAAGAGCAGTCAACCTCTCGACTTTTTGTTGTATAATAGAATTCAAACATTTTGTATTTACTGTACCAAGTTTACCGTATGATTATAAGCTAAAATAATTTACTTTAGTAAAAGGAACAAATACTCATCATTGAATTTTTGCTAAAAAAAATTACACTAGATAATCAATTTGGTTTCAGATGGTGCCAACTATATGTTAATGAAAAAAAATCATTTTGTATAAATATTGTTAGTGTTTCTTTCAGGCCCAAAACGCAGATGTAGTGTCTGAATTAAATACACAGCCTGTACTTGGTGGAACTGGTGTTGTACCAATTTTGAGTGAGGTACCACATCCACCACCCGGAATACCTATACCACAATATCATAATATTGGAGATTACATGGGACAACATGCCTGGCCTACGAACATCATTGTCTCAGCCTTAAACCAGCCCCTAGAGGTAAATATGTAATATAAAATGTATAAAAAATGTAATAACTATTAAAAAGGATGCTACCAAAAGTTGGAGCTTGCATCTGCATGTAGAACACATAAGCTCTTTTTCAATATAACATGTAAGTCAAATTTCACTTGGAAGTAAGAACCTAGCAGATTTACTAAAAAAAAAAAAATATATTTGCTTTGATTGAATAAGGATAAAACTTCAATTTTAAACCAATAAACAAATAAAAATCAACAACTTAGCTTAATTCAATAAAAAAATTTAATAGTTACTGTTTCTCTTTCCAGGTAATAAATTATCCTCCAGCTGCTGCTGCTCCAACATCTCCCTTAGTTTCTTCACCAGGTGACAGTCGGGCAACATCGCCACACTCTCGTCGAAGACTATCTCGTGACCGATCGCCGCCACTACAGTCTGTCACATCTGGCCCTCCCGAACCGACCCCCCTACAAATATCTACCAACTTTGAAAACCTGGCTATTGCAGAGGTAAATGTTGTTGCATTTCCTGGCACTCTAGTCTTATTCAAATTTGAAAAGTTAGAAAAGAAGGGTATTATAGGAAGAAATATTGTATTATACTTCTTGTATTTGGGACTATTTCGTTAAATAAAAATCTGTGCTTTTCAGCGGCTTATTTTTAGTTTAGAATCATGAATGTACTTAAATTAACTTTTGTTCCTTGACATGACAATGTAAATGCTCTTATCCATGTTGACATATTAGGTCGACATTTCAATTGTTATAAAATAATTCCTTCACACTATAATGCATGATTGATATAACATCACCTGGTGTCTTACATGCTAGTCTATTTGGACCTTAAATTAATATTTCTTTTTGGATTTATATGAAAGTCGTTTTGATAACAATTTCCAAAAATGATTTTCAGATGCGACACAATATAGGTGATGAGAGATTACGAGAACTCGGAATTCATCAGTACAGGTCTTTAGAAAAGTTGAACGGAGTTCGAAGAAGAGCGACAGCATACTGCCCCCCCACACGATCGTCATCAGACAGTGGCTCCAGTGCGGCTTCGTCCCCTCCCGACACTCCCGCTCTGTCGCTACGTCGCGGTGCTCCTTCCGCGCCGCCCGTTTCTTATCTGCAGTATCCGAGACCCTACGCCTTCCCCACCCCTCCACCTGCCTACCGCCCGCCGCCGCCCCCCTTCGCGAACGGCGAACCCCCTCCGTACCCGGCCCCCACTCCTTACGCTGGATTTGTGCCGGTCTTATACGCGCCGCCGAAACTTTCCTGCTGGAACTGCGGCGCTGCAGGTCACGCAGGACACGAATGTAAAGAGCCGAGCATGGAAGAGATGACGAGGGCAGGTGGATATCAGTTAGACTTTGGTGGTGCTCCGCCGGAGTCGACGGAGAAATAGGTGAGTCTCGACTGCTGCGGACTCGAGCCGCCGACCGCGACTGCCGCGACCATCGCGATGACCGCGCCCACCGCATCGGGTCGCGCGTCGGCCGATATTCTCAGTTAGTACCAAAGTGTCAGGTCTCAAAATTGTAAATAACGACCTGAATCGGTCTGCACGTGCGCTGCTTGTACCCGGTGCTGCTCTGATCCTTGAAAATTCAAACAAAAAAATCATAATGTACAAAACATAAAATGTTGATGGATATCATATTGTCTACTTAGAATTTGACTATGGAGGTCCTCGTATTTGCGTGAAGGCAATTGCACTTTCAGTCCGGGTTTAGTTCTATAGTACATTCCAGAACATTTATGTAGAAATGTAAATGGCTTTTATGGAACATTATGACTAGTTTAAACGCTTGTAAGTCATTAAATGATTTACTTCCGTCGTAAACTTTATGCGTGTTTGAGGTGTAGGATGGTAATTTATTTATAATTCGTAAATGATTCGGAGTGTTATTTTTCCTTCTGTTTTGAAAAATTGAGTGTATGTCCTTGACGAAAATAATATTACATAATAGCCAGAATAACATCGCAAAAGCCAAGTGTTTCTGGTGGCGGGAAAAAAGGAACAGTTTTACTATATTCTGAACAAAATAAAACTGAGTACCTATCGTTAAAATAGAATTTCACAGAAATTTTAACTATACGTTGAAAGTGCAATTACGCGTTATTCAAATTGAACCTTAACGGAGTGTAGAATTTTGAGGGAATTCCATCTTAGGTTTCGAAAAATGGGATATGAGTTGACTACTTTCGATATCTCGTAATGCCGTTCTTTGAACAGGGTTTAATTTATATAATAAAATATATTTCATATGAGTAATTATTAGCCCAAAACAGTGCCTCGAATTAAGTTAGTATATCTAATGCTACTTGCTGAACTTAATGGTTCATATAGACAAAATAACTTGTTTGCAATTATTCTCAAATGTGGAAGTGCCATAAAGTGCAAGTTTCAATAACCGAATAATTTCGACTAATAATAAATAATGATGACTTAAATATTTAATTTATTCGCATCGTTAATTAGTGAGCTTAGAACAATAAATAATTAGCAATGTGATAAATAGTTATTGTAAAATTGCAACTATTTTAAAACACCTGTGACTTATTATGAAAGCAATCTAAGTTAGTTACTATTAATCGGTGATTAAATGCTACTCAAACTTTTTCCTGTTAAATACTTAGTGATACGCTACTATAGTATTAAAATGTTCTCCGGAATGCGATATCGTATTATAAAGTTTAAGGACATATTATTTAAAAAAAAAATATAACAAAAAAAAAACAAAAAAAAACATGACAATATTAACTTTTTGAATGAACATTTAAATTTTCATTTGGCTCACCCTACATAAATTTAAGATTTAATTGGCAGCAAGAAAAAAGTGCGGCCAATTTCAAATTGGATTGTCTTTTGGTTTTACTAGTCATTGAAAGGATATGTTTATTATACTACTAAATCCTTTCATACAAAATAGTACTTGTAACAGAAACATTTCATTGCCTAAAAAACTAAATAAAAAATAAAGTGCACACCATAACTTCTAAGGCTTTTCGTTAGATTGGACCAATTTGTATATTCTTAACTGTTTTTTAATCCATTTATAATAATATAATAATTGTCGAAACGTTATTGCATGGCAATATTTTGAGCAACATATTTAGTACATAGTGACTCATGTTAGTACAAATTGGTACAGTAATTGGTGTGAAAATATTCTTAAATACATAGATTAGGAATAGTCATAGGGGAGTTATTGTAGTAGATACTTTTAAATTAATGTTTTAGTTTATATTTGCTTCGATGTATAATTTTGTGGAATTCCCTAAAATTCTGTTTTTGTATATTTGACTTTATATCCCAAATTTTTTTTTAATCCTTGTTTGACCAAACGTTTTTCAAGTGAATCAATCAGAGAGTGATTATTTTAAGACTGATTCATAAAGGTAGGCCTCTGAATAAAAAATATGCATATGAAGAGGCCTTGTCAACTCAACAGTTTTTATGTTATTTAACAATTAAAATCGTTTGAAATCTTACAATTGGACTGTAAAAGTCGAAAGTTTTATGACTACCCTTGATTTTGTTCGACAGTGATGAGTTTAAATGAATAAGGATAATGGATTGTTTTGATCAAGCTCACAAAAAATGCAAAATGCTCGTAATATTTATATGATAGTCATTGTAAGTATTTACAACCATGTAAGAGAGTTTACACGTCAGAATGGATGTGTTCATATTTTGTAAATAATTCGGTTTTATATTAAATTAGTTACTGTTTAGAGATTGATTATATATTTGTAAATTAATTAAATTGTCATTATTTGAGTGTCCCCAAGTATAATCGATAGTTTTTTTTTTAAGATCACCGTCACAAATCACAAAATTGCATTTCAAAATCCCAGTTTTTTTTTAGTTCTTATTTTGGGGTTGTATATTGTTTTCGCATAATTAAATGAAAACGGAAAATGTTTTAAATAAACGAATGGGTCATGCGTGGGTGGGTACTGGGTGTTGCCACTGTGGCCGATTTGTATTTATGTAGCTTGCCAATTATAATTTTATTTAAGTGCGTCCATCAACCGCGTAAGCCGTAAATGGATCTTTGTTAAGTGTTTAAAGGCACGAACCGATGACAGAAATGACGATCTGCTATTTATTATATTAAATGCGGAAATTATGTCTTAGCACGAGATTGGGTCTAATTATAGTTCCCTGTAAATGATCACGGTGTCTTGCGATTAGTATCAATTTCCTGTCGAAGGTTGTATGTCCACATAACGTAGATATTGTGTTTTTTATATTATCGTAATTTTAACGTGAAGTTTGACATGACTTACATTATTATAGATTAAACATAGAAAAAAAAACTATCGTAATTAAATAAGGTCGCCTATTAAGTGTAGCCTCATTGTGACACTACTTATGCAATATGGAATAGCGTTATGTGCTGCATATCATAGTATCAAGTGTGATATTCAAGGATTCTTTTTCGTGTGCTCAAACGCAAGCAATCTACGTTTTAATCGGAATGAAACAATTATGTATTATTTTTTAACTATACCCACAGATGCAATATGAGTTATAAAGTATCAAAATATTGTTGCTCGTATGTGCAGCTTCGCTTTGTACTAGGAGTATGAAGGTATTTTTTTACTTTGTACAGGATGTTACATAAATGTGATAATGAATTTTTTGACATAATTAGATATTGTGATTTAGTAATTTGTGTAGTTTATAAATAAAATATGAAACAGAAACTCGCTTTACTAAATAAACTTTATTATTCTTACAGCTTATTGTATTAACGGTTGTATACCTTGTGTTTTTGGTTTCTTTGTAAATGGGTACTTGTACTAAGCTGTTGTACCGTCTGCTAGTGAGAAATTTGTATTCAGGAAAATGAATGTTTCGGCCCAGTATTGTCAGAACTCTGTATCCCACCAATGCTGTGAATCATTTGCTTCCTGATCAATAAAACAATTTAAATCCAAATTGTGTTTTTTTGTTGTTGTTGTTTCAGAGTGCGTTGCTGTGAATAGTGGAAATGTTTTTCAATTTATTATCTTTATCTCAATATATAAAAATGAATTGCTGTTCGTTAGTCTCGCTAAAACTCTATAACGGCTGAACCGATTTGGCTAATTTTCGTCTTGAATTATTTGTGGAAGTCCAGAGAAGGTTTAAAAGGTAAATAAATATGAAAATGCTCGGAATATAAATAAAAATAACAATTTTGTTTTTCCGTTGATGTGTCCCCCGTCGGACCGATTCCTTTTGTTTGTTTTAAGTTTTAAGTTATACAAAAGCTTAGGTTTTTTTTTCTCTATTGAGGTACTACAAAGTCTGCCGGGTCAGCTAGTTTATTATAAATAACAAAGATAACTTACACCTTTTATTTCGTGCCATCTAATAAAATTATTGTTCGTTGTGGGTTGGAGAACCGAACTGGGTATAATAATCGGCACGAGTCTTGAGCTCTGACCTTGACATGCGCAGAAGTCCTTTTTTGGGTCTTGTTTGGGGAACGAGGCGAGAACGGGGGTGCCAGCCGTATTTATTAGGTGATTAAATCTTCCTGCGTCGCCTCACACGCCGTCAGTTGAGATTGGATCTCTGTGTTTTGCACGCGCATAATTGCAGCAAACTACACTTTCGTCCAATTTTATTAGCCACACATTTTTTTTATCTTCGTCTTCTTCTAATCAGCCCACAGACGTATACTACTGGACCTAGGCCTCCCCAAAGGCTCGCCACAAATACCGGTCCTGTGCTTCCTGCATCCAGCGGATCCCCGCGAACTTCAATAGGTCAAACTCATTTAATTTATATTGTTTTTCGTAAGTATTTATCAACTTAGTATTATTATAATATTCTAATAACGTAATATTTTAAACATTATTCTCAAAATGGAAATTTATATAGTGTCAGGTAGTACTTAAAGTAGTCAATAATACTGATAAAATTAAAAAAGGAACATCAATTCAATGATTTAGAATTTTTAACTAACCGTAAACTATCTGTACTTTCATGTTAGCAGAAAGGACGTTAGTTTGGAGCTTTAAACCTGTGACCGACTTAATCAAAGAAAAAGTAAATTTGATGGCTGCCACTGATTGGAATAAACTGTGCCAAAAAGTGAATAAAATAGAAGAGCAATATAGGAAAAGTGATCATATGGTGGACATGTTAACTGAAGAATTTATTATTCATGTTGGTGATGATGACTGTGATAATGATGAAGATCTTAAATCGCATACCGAATATGCAGATGATTTCGATAATGACACAAAATGATGATGAAGATGAAGTTCCTAGTACAAGCCATTTTGGAGAAAGTGATGTGATGGATGGTGTGTCATTTATGATGGAATGAAGAGCTTAACAGAATAATTTTTTTATTTCATGTATGTTGTAGTAGGTATAATTTAAAAACATAAGCATACTCGTACTTACCTAAAATATCTATTTATTTAATCTATAATTTAATCTATCTACTTTATAATTAATATACTTAGACTTTAGAATTTATATAGAACGAATTGATAACCTTTTGGAGTCTGTTAAAAATAGAGCTATTTCTGACTATAATACGAACGAAGCCCCGGAAGAAAAAAAAACTATTATATTATTACTAATTTTTGAATCCCAAATTGAACGAAGTTAATTTAATTATAAAAAAATTAATAAACATATGAGTGAGCCATTTATTTTGACCGTAAGTGTACGATGCTCAGACAGCCCCCCACTCTTTTGTCGAGAGCTCATCACTCGTGCCGATTACTATACGAACTTTTTAAGGGGCTTCACTGAAACCGAGACGTATGAATGGGACCGTTACCGCCCATTTAGAGGTGAAGTCTGATGTCGGAAAATCATTTGAGCCGAGATATCGAAAATCAAAGTTATCGATTTTTTAATATCGTAACTGTAACAAAAATAAATATTGAAGAACATACATGCAATGCCAGGGATACCGCTAAATAGTCTCCGCAAGCCTCGTTTGAAGGACATGCCATAGCGCTCGGGAAACATCATACAGCGGAGCTTATTCCGAAGCCGGATGCTACGTGGCAGAAAAGATCTCTGGAACCGCAATGTGGATGAAAATAGTGCTTCTAGATACTATGGATGAACTCTACTCCGGTGGCGGGCGGTGCGATGGAAAAAACGAGATGATGGGATCATCTCAAACAATTACTTAGAGCACTCCCCGTGGAACATGCGCAACATGCACATTTGTGCAGTGTTTGCATTATTGGGCAGTCCAGATCCATCTGCGAGGCGAACAGCCGCAGGTAACTACTGCGATTACCCCGCACGCGGTGAATTTGGGAAGCGATTCGCTAACGAATAATTGCTAGGAAGCTATCTATTCGCGGATCCGCAAACATCCCCGACGCACCGCAATGACGTAGCAGACACATCAGCGCTCTGAAATTGTTATTATATTGGATAAGCAGAGTATTCTACCTACATCTTGGTGTATTTAACGCATAGGCTGCACGTGTAAAAAGACTAACAGTGACCTGTGAAAAGAATAACTTTCACTTCTGCAGTACACCGCGCGAACATACGGGCCAGCATATTACCTCTGATTGACAACGCCCTGAGCTCCTTTTCCATGTCTACGTCGGGTCTGCGAGCGTCTCAGTGACCGAGTGACCCAGATACTTGAATTGCAACACTTGCTTAAGGAAGCTGCCGCTGGGTGTGACTGGTGGGACAGTTTCTTAGGTCTGCCTGCCTGATTTAAATACCATGAGCTCGCTTTTTATGGTTTTATAAAGGGTGTCCCGGAATTCAACGTAAAGCCGAAACGGAGTGACAGGATTGATTGTAACCATCATGAGAAAAATCAGAAAAAAACTGTCCCATGCAGTTTGGAAATTATGGGCGTTTAAGAAAAACCTAGAAATTTTGTCAAACTGTAACAATTTTTGGGTTATTGTGGTTAATTTTTATTATTTTTGTTCATTTACACTTTGGAAACGTAACCCTAAATAACATTTCTAGAACCACAGTCAAAAATAATGACACAACGGCCCCAAGTTTTCTAGAGTTAAGGCTATTTGTTAAACTATGTACCAAAGTGCCTTGGCAAGTGCCATTAAAAGTTCGCGCATTTAATCAGGATTGTAAAATGGTACAATACTTGTTAGTTTCATACTAAAAAAAACTAGTAAAAAAATTAAAACCTCGAGTAACCTGATTTTTGCTAACCCATTTTACTCAGTTCAAAGGTTTTTTATTGATGTGAGAGATTGCCAAACTGCATGGGATAGATTTTTTTCTGATTTTTCTCATTATTGTTACAATCAATCCTGTCACCCCGTTTCGGCTTGACAGTGAGTTCTGGGACATCCTGTATATGAGCCCATGTTCTATCGCATAACGCTCGCATATCCCGATCAGCTTTCTGAGAGCCCTGATCGATGGACTCAGCAACACTATGTTGCCTGCATGACTGATGTTAAACACACCATCAATGGAGCAGCTGACACTGGCATTGCTGAACCCACGGATTAGGTGGTCAATATATAAATTAACAAGGCTTGGCGATGACAAGCCGCCTTGTCTTACTCCACAAGCACAGCTTTAGAAAGTTCATATTTATTTTCGTTAAAACATCGTGTCATGTAATCGACGACAGATCGATTGAGTCTACCATTATCAGAGCTCTCCAGAACTGCCATGTGTATTAATCAGGAACGACTTTATTAAGCCCGTGTATAGATTTATCCAAATAAGGTAGGTGCGGGTAATAAGGCCTATCGGCTAATAAGGCCTAAGTAACGAAAAAATAATTTAAAATGTTCGATGCCGCTCAAGGACACAATCATAGGTAGCTACACTCCTAAGATGGCGCGTCAAAATTGTCGCGACGCGTCGCTCGCTTGTTTCAACCAGTGCGATGTGATCTTTTGTGAGGGGTGGTTGTGTGTGGTAAGAGTAATAAAAAATAGTCCGACTGAATCGTAAGTAATGTTTGTAATATTACACTTTTATATATAATTTTACGCTACAATTTTCTGTTTTTCATGCTTCTATTGATCTTTGATATCTGAGTAATATATCATGAAACAGTTAGTGTATTTTTTTGTATATCTTTATACCCTATATCAGCGGTTAATAAGGCCTACCAAATTTGACTGTAGGCCTTATTATAATCCTCTTTTTATAACACTATTTGACAGCTTTCCAACTAATATTTTAAATATTTCGTAAAATGTTATGAATGTTTATAAGTAATTACGACTGTTTACTAATTACTTTATTGTTATTTTAGTGTCTACATTATGATGCCCCGCAAACGAGCATTGTGGTCTGAAAATGACTTGGTTTCGGCTGTCCAAGCAGTAANGTAGGCCTTATTATAATCCTCTTTTTATAACACTATTTGACAGCTTTCCAACTAATATTTTAAATATTTCGTAAAATGTTATGAATGTTTATAAGTAATTACGACTGTTTACTAATTACTTTATTGTTATTTTAGTGTCTACATTATGATGCCCCGCAAACGAGCATTGTGGTCTGAAAATGACTTGGTTTCGGCTGTCCAAGCAGTAAGAAGAGGAATACTAAGCACATATAGAGCTGCTGAGAGGTATAAAGTCCCCAGGAGAACCATTAGAAACCATCTCCAGACCGGAAGCTTGAAAAAGACACTAGGTCGAAAATCTATTCTCAGTGACGACCAGGAAGCTGATCTTGTTAGCAGAATTATAAGGTTTGCTGAAGTAGGTTTGCCTGTGACACCACGGATTCTCCGACGCTTGGTCTATAAATTTTGTGAGCTTAATAAGGTGAAGCATAACTTTAATCAAAATGCTGGAGTAGCTGGTAAAGATTGGTTTAAAGCATTTATGAAAAGACATCCCGAAATATCTAGAAGAAAAGCTCAGTTTATTAACCCAGCCAGGGCACAAAAGCTTAACAAATTTATCGTTAATGATCACTTCAAAAAACTTAATGAAATTTATGATAATCTAGATTTGCAAAGCCACCCTGAAAGAATTTATAATATGGATGAGAAAGGCTGCCGTCTAACAATTCATCATAAACAGACTGTTTTGGCAAAGAAGGGTGCTAAAAGAGTGCATTTACAGTCTTCGGAACACGCTGAAAGTGTCACCATAGCGGGATGTGTAAATGCACTTGGTACTGCTATACCACCAATGATTATATTTAAAGGTAAACGATTGAAGCCAGAATTATATGATAATTTGCCACCAGGTTCTCTAGTAGAAAAATCTGCAAAGGGGTATATGACTAATGAACTTTTTAAAGAATTTCTGAAGCACCTAGCTAGATATAAAAGTGCAGGAAAGTCCCTTTTAATATTTGATGGAGCAGCTTGTCACTTAGACTTAACCATCGTTGAAGTCGCAGATTCACTCGACATATCATTATACTGTTTACCTTCGAATACCACTCACGAACTGCAACCCCTAGATAAAGCCGTCTATCGATCATTTGAACACCACTGGGATGCAGAAGTCTTATCATTTATGGAACAAAACCCAGACAAAAGGCTCACTAAGGCACGGTTTAATGTTATTCTTTCAAATGTCTGGTCCAAATGCATGACTCATAATAACATTACAAGCGGCTTTAAAACCACTGGTTTATATCCATTGAATCCACAAGCTATTCCAGAAACAGCTTTTGCTCCGTCTTTATTGACAGAAGTTCCAGGTCTTGTAGTTGACACAGTTGATAAAGAAAATTCGCAACCTCGCATCTCCCCCAAGCCAATAACCCCAAGACCCTCCACGTCGACAGCACAAGAAGAAAGAATTGATAGCAGGGTAAACAGACCTTCTGGAACATTTTACCGCATGGTTTACGGTAGTTCTAGTTCAGATGATGAAGAAGACCAAGTGCCACTCGCTCTAGTAAAAAGAACAGCATTTCAGCAACTTATGCCTACACCGGCGAAAAATATTGAAAAAACACAAAATGTTAGAAGAAAAGCCATTAATTATCGGGGAACTCCAGTCATCAAGGACCTATTCGACAAAAACAAGAAAGAGAAGAAAATAAGAAAGAGGTCAACTCTTAAAGAAAGACATGACAAACAAAACGATGCTATTTGGTACTGTCACGCTTGTGAGGAGGATAAGATGGAAGACATGAGGGCATGTTCAAATTGCGGCAAGTGGTATCATGAGGAATGCGTCGGTTTGACAGTAAATGACATAGATAATTTTGAGTGCCCTGATGGATGTTAAACAAAGAAATATGTTGTAATTTTGAAGACTAAGCATGATTAATGCATATACATTATAATTCATCTCAATTACCAAATATTAGAAGCCTATTTTGTATATTTATGAGTGTTAAAATCTTAGGCTTTATTATCCTACTATAGTATAATAAGGCCTACTGACAAGGTTTTTAAAAATGTTTTATTTTATGTTTGTTTACGGCAAAAGAGGCCATTTTTTGTTAACATTTNATAATAAGGCCTACTGACAAGGTTTTTAAAAATGTTTTATTTTATGTTTGTTTACGGCAAAAGAGGCCATTTTTTGTTAACATTTTATAGTAATTGATCTGTAGGTTTAATTAATATTACAATTTATTGAGTCGTATAAATAGTTTTTATTTTATTTCAAATCTCCCTTAGGTAGGCCTTATTACCCGCAGCTACCTTATATAAACCTTCCTCTTCAATCACTCTATCTATTAAAAAAAACCACATCAAAATCTTTTGTGTAGTTTTAAAGATTTAAGCTTACATAGGGATATAGGGACAGAGAAAGCGACTTTGTTTTATACTATGTAGTGATACAGATAAACATAATTTGTAGAGCTGTTGACTGGATCTGTTGTAGGCGTAGCATTGAAAGGTAAAATTAAGACTAAGAAGCGTCCTTGACTTAAGGTAGTCGGTGTATTCATAGTCTGCGACTATGCCGTATAGAATAGCAATTGTTCTGTATAATTTTGTAGCAAATGTGTTCACGAACGACATTCACATCAATGAATACATTTCTTAGTGCAGGTCTGTCCAGGCTGAGCCTGCTTATGGGCAAAAATGGTGATAGATGTATTCGTGGGAGGTGTAAACTTTATATATACCTTTTCGCTGGTAGCCTAAGGGCCTATTCTAGATATTCTCGGACGTCTATTTGAGCTCACGGGATCAACTTGAAAGAATTTCCTAACAATAATCCTAGCAAGAAAACTATAAGCTATCTACTCACTATTCATACATAGTTACACTATATGTGAGTGAAGGCTTCATGGGTTTCCTTTTTGTTTTTATCACTAAAAAGAGTATATTGATTTAGAAAAGTCTACTATGAATTTAATTTTCTCTTTGTGACGATACAATTATAAATACATTTTTTGAAAAACGTAAATACAAGACGTCTAATTTATACAACTCTGTATAAATAATGTATTAAAATCAAATTTAAGCAATGTATAATTTTGCGCATTTTTTTATGCGTTACGTAAGTAAGGAGATGTGGATACGGGTCACCTAAACGAACTCAGTGGCAATGGTCAGTGATCACTGGTCCTGCATATATTATACGTATGTATATATTTTCGATGAGCGTAATGACTCGAGGTTGTAAGAAAAATAAAACTGCTTCGTAAGTAATAGGTGGTGGAAGTTTAAAGACATGACGGTGTTATCTACATTATTCTTTTAGATCTCTCAGCATGAAAAATTAGAAACGAAACACAAGGAGCCGAACTTCCTCCGTAGACCAAGATGTTTCCGAGGATCTGTGAAATCGAGAATACTAACAAAATCCGAACGGCGCGGCCCGTTTCGGAGTCAAATGGAAGCAGTACTTATTAAACTCCCTGAAATGATGGTGGACAATATTATGCGTCAACACCATTATCCCTATTTTTGTCATGAAGAATTTGTAAGCTTCTTAATATACTTTATTATATAAGTAAACTACCAATATTAAGAAAAAAATATATTATAATGAGATTTACTCNCGAGAGGGCTGGTGGTCGTGGCGCCGACGACCGCCGGTCCGGCGTCCCGAGGGGGAGGGTGATGGGAGAGATGTGCTCCGCACTAAACGCTTCACTTTCCCCCCTTTGCCTCTTCATGAGTTCTGTCTCATGCGAGGTTTGGACGTTGGTTGTTGAGCGACAGGAGGTTTTAGTCAGTTCGACTCTGACATGCTCCGCCTTCTATCCCCAGTGGAGGGCGGAAGTCCGGCGATTTCCTCCTGACAAAAAAAAAAAAGTAATGAAAAGGCGTAACCAAATATGAAATGGAAGATGTATTGCGTTGAACAATATTCCTATGTATAATAATAATATTACTTATTAAACCATTTGTTAGGTTACAGCTTGAATATGCTACTGTGAGTTGGAATCCAATTTAGAACAGGCATAGTAAACCTTTAGATATGGTGCAGCAGCTGAAGTATCTTCATCCGCTGTTGTAATGCTGTGTGTTGTGTAATGCTGCAATCGATCTCTTTTAAATAAATTTACTATCCTCCCGCTTTATATACAAATACAGATTCACGATCGAATGAAAAATGAAAATACAATATTTAGTTATAAATTTAATCGGACTATTTTTTTTTATGAAATTTGGTATCAATTTCCACAACAAATCGCTTGGTCTTGTAATTTATGAACTTATCGTTTTACCGAATAAATGTTGTACCTACCGAGGTGCCTTGCGTCTTACAGCATCTTCGATAGTAAATTATTTAATTTAGACATATTTGCTTTATCGCAGCTTGTATTTCCTTTAAGGAGTTCCACGGTACTGCAGGGTAAGACAGGCTGGCTCTGGTCCACCGGGGTATTCCGGGACACCAGCGGCGCCTGGGGCCGCCTATGGGCTGCCGTACCGAGACGGCCGATGTAAAGTCGTCGACTATAGCCACGACCACCCGTCCGTCGGGCGTTCTAGGGGTAGCGCCACGAGTCTGGTTGTAATGCTGACCGCAGGAACCTTCCCACTCTATCTGGGTTCTGACCCCGGCCGTAGTTCGGACTTCGGGTGAGAGACTGCAAGGAAAGTCGTTTGGTGGGTAGAGTCCTAAAAAATTCTTGGGGCTGTAGGGCTTGGGAGCAGATCTCCCAACATCTGCAGACAGTCAAATCCGATATATCCCGCGCACCCCCTAGACGTGTCACACATTGTATGAGTTTGGAATCCTGCCCGAAAAAAAAACATAAAAATATAACGGTTTTTTCAGATCTTCTGGACCCATGAACATCTGAATCCTTCTAATCTGAATTTAGTATCTATGTAGTAGATTGAATCACTGTACAACTAAATAGGTATATAAAAAAATCGGATTGAAAACTTAACGATGATGAAATTGTAAAAAAAAAAACATTCATAAAACAATTAAAGAATCTTAACCAAGTCCACCAAGATGGGTATTGGGTAGTTGCAGCCACGTTGTAATTTCTATGGGTTCCGATAATTACCTTAACAATATCTTGGTCGTGTTCTTATTTGCAAAATTAGTGTAATTAATAGGACACTGTTATAAAAATACAAATTAATCCATGTAAATAAACGAGTATCAGCGCGTGGTTTTAAAATCGATGGAATCGATTTGAACATTTAGGATTCCATTGCTAGTTACCACGTGATAAATGACACTTGACAGATATGACGTAAAGCCGCAAGTTGTATTATGACTCAATAGAAGGTTTGAAATTTTGGATAAACCTCTCGCAAGACCCTTAAATTAGATACATTTATATTTAGACCGATATTTTATTTACATCGCAACATGGATAATCAAAGTAAACAATTAGCTGAAGACTTTTTCTTAAGAGAGCCTGTAGACGCCCGCATCAGGTAACTTTGGTTGGTGACATTTTGTACCATTTAGCAACATGTTTTTAAAAATTAAAATACGTTTCTCCATAGAAAAGTGAAAGATGAGCCCAAAGAAGAATCACACCCGAATCTCAAAGTTGAAATGCAAACGATTCGTTTGAATCCGGACTCACAGAAGATAATATTAGATACATTGAGGTATATCCATGGTTCTGAATTCAAATTGGGCAGTGCTAGTCTTTACAAGGTATGAGAGAATGGGTATTTCATAAAGCACTTCACACGAAATATTTAAGTAAACTGATTGTTTAGTATTTGAGTGTATTTGTAGATGTTTATTTTCATGAATGCTCTTAAAAGGTTTGTTTAAAAGCTCATATTGTTCCCTGCATTGTGTGCAAGTTGTAACTTACATATTTTTAGAAAATTTTCATTATGTCCATTATTACACATGCATAATGTAAAAAATATATTTTCAGGATAAAGGTTCAAATCTGGGAAACAGGTATTGGATGGAAAGAGGCAATTTAGTTGTCCAAGGAGGATGTGACTATTCTCTTAACATGAAACCTGATATACAGAGCTCAGAAGCTAGACTTAGATCTTTTGCTTTATCAAAATTAGAAAAGTAAGTAATTGAATGTAATTATTGCTATCCATAAAATCTATTTGATGACGGTGGTAGCTGTTAATCATAGACATTAGCAATACTGGTTCACTGTCAAGCCCCTGCCTATATAATTGATAATCGGCACCAATAGTGAAGATGATAAGACATACGAGTTTATATTAGGCTCTGCTATAAATAGTTAATTTTAAGCAATTGAAATTTCACACTCCAGATACCACTTCCATAAAGCACATTGTGCAGAAGCCTTAGAGATAGCAGCAGAAAGTGTAGAAAAGTCCCTAGAGATTTTATTTTATAAATATTTTAAGATAGACCCAGAGGATAAACCGGAAAACACCCTCTCAAATTCAGAGTTAGAAGAGATGAGAATGGATGAAAAAGCAGTATTAGAATCAATATATGATACCAGTTTCAAAACGAAAGATGCAGATGTATGGGTTGTCAAATTAGATCTAGACTACTTAACAAAGCTATACGCAAATAAAGTTGATGCACCGAAAAAGAAAACAAACATAAATTACAATAATAAAGGGAAACCAAAAGAGATGTGTAAACTTATTTTAAAGGGACACTGTAGATTTGGTGATAAATGTAAGTTTTCGCATGAAATTAATACAGAGAAAACTCAGCCCGATACAGAAAACGCTGGAACTCAGAAAATTACTTATGAATTAGAAGTAAGGTTTCCGAAAGACACACTGTATCCTTATCAACCCCCATTATTGTTTTTCAAAACGGAAAACCGTACTGATACCATACCCGATTTAACTTGTTTGAAAATAACATGTAGACTCGTAGACGAGGCGAAAATTCTTGCACAAGATGGAGTACCAAGTATATATTCCATTGTGGAATTGTTACAAAATGAAGAAGATATCATAAATTTTATAAAATTTGATACAAGATCATTTTTAGAACCTTCAGAAGCTCTATTTCCACAATTAATAGAGGATGAAGGTAAACATGAAGTTAAACCAAGTCATTACAAAAAAGGTGTTATCAAAGACATAAGGAATAACATAAATTTTGAAGAAGTTTTGAGAGAAAATAAAGAAATAGCTAAGAGATGGTTAGAAAAGAGGGAAAATAATAGGTACAACAAAATGATGTCAGATAGAAGAAAATTGCCTGCTTGGCAGAAGAAGAATGATATATTGAATGCTTTGAAAAAATCACAGGTTAGTAGTATTCAACATCTTTAAGAAAACTTCAA